GGGAATAACGCACAATCACCTGATGGCTAATTTTATTTAATTGGTAGGCTGTGAGCATCAATATCATTCACTTATTAGTTGATTTGCATCCTTCAATATGCATTATTTCCAATACTATTCAAATATTTTTCAAGGATATGAATAGAGTGTGAGATTCTTCCAAACGAGCTACCGAATAAAAAAAACAAATTTTCAAGTTGATCTTAATGTATATGGAATAGTAAAATATTCAGATAATGCTCGAATAGCTAATAAATATGAAGAAATTTTGTTAAGAGAGCCTTATTGATGAAAACTCTTTATTCTCTTACATCGCTATAAACGCTTGATGCTCCTACAGAATATAACATCATCTGTTAATTCTAAAATTTGTTATGTATGTTGGAGTCTTGGAAAGCATTAAGTACCATAAATTTTGGCAGCAATTACAGATTCGTAAAAAAAAGGATTGCAAGATGAATGAAATGGGCAATGATGCAATATATCGTATAGTGAGGATATATTAATATCTATTAGGAGCACTGCGACAAAATAAATGCAATAATTAGATATTTTTGCAGGTGCAGAATTATTATTAATAACATTCTTATAAGTTCCTTGCATCCGAAAAACAAAGATGAAGGAATTGTTTTGATGGGTTTTTTTCATAGAATGGAGTGATACAGATTAATTGTATTCAATATTTGAAGATTTATGCAAATGATTATCCTTACACCTATTTGCATCGGAAATATTTTCAATCCTAATGTCAACGAATATAATAGTGATTTAATTGTGTAGTATTGAAATGGGAAAATATCTATCCCGCTGGATCTCGGGGCAATTTAATGTAAACCGTTGGGTGATCGTATGATGGTTGGAAATAGAAATTCGCTGAAATATTGAAGAATCTTTATGATTTATGAAATTCAAAGAAATATTTCAAAACTTCCCAGCAACAGAAGGACATTAAATTAAATATGCGTTTTCATAAATAAATTTAATTGATTTCATTTAAAACAAAACAGTTTGCAAGATTATAAAGTATAGGCAAAAATTGCATGTATTTCCCCAGATTTTTATAGATATTATCCAGGAAATGGAAATGGATAAGATTTTTTGCTGTGATGAAATTAAGAATTTTCATGATTTATTTCGTTCTCAAAGCTCATGCAAATCCTTTTAAAAGAGTTATGCTGGAATTTGAGAGTTCATAATTTGCTTGAATGTTTGAGATATTTGATTTTATAAATATTACAAAATTGAAATATTAGTATTTTTAGCTAATGAAGGTGTTGTTTACGTCTAAATAATCTATTTCTCAGTAAAGAGAAAGAGAATTAATAGTAACATGAAGTTGATGCATTGATCTTTTAAAAAGGAATTTGAAAAGTTTGAATAAAATGAAGTTGAAAATAATCATACGAAATTTTTAAAGCAAACTAGTGCGATTGTGAAATCATTCAGGAGCCTTGATAATATTTTGAAATCTGTGTAAACTTGGGGAGAATAATCTGAAAGTTTTGTGATAAAAACAAAATGGTGCAGTTTGTTGTCCAATTATTACAATCATTTTAAATTCATTATTCATTAGTCTTTCTCTGAATAGAAAGCCTATAATGTAGAGTGAAATAAGAAATCACAATAAGTCAAATGTATTTTTTGGGTAATCATCAAAATACCATCTTGAAGAATAAGATTTTTGAAAAGAAATGAATATGAAATAATGAATAGCTTTTCAAAGGACTTGTTGTTTGACTTTCATTGTTAGATTTTTAATTGTTGAGTGCGAAAATGCACCATAACTAATTATTTTTACTAAGTTTGATGGGATAAATTAAAGACCGTAATAATTTTTTGAAATAAATTTAATGTTTTGTTGTGCCTATTGAATTTCATGAGGTGGAAGTGATGAAGCGTTCATCAAGGTAATAGAAAAAGTGGAGGTAATCAATACTTATCTCTGAAAATTTGAAATTGAAACTTCGAGTTAAGTCTGTATATACAATATCTCAGTTAATCAATTTAAGATCCAAGTGTTTAGTTTAGCTAATTGTTTTCACACTTAGATCAGCAGAAATGAAGACAATATGATATTATTATATTTGTAATACAAGGAGAAAGAAAGCGCGGAACCTATTACTAATGGTTCTTAACTAAATATATTAAGGTACTAGGAGTATATTTGATAAACTGCTGGGCATCCATAAAAGCTTACACCAATAAGGAGCTTATTCGAGACTTCTGCTCTGTTATACATTCAAGGTTATATTATGTCTAATATTAATTTGACTTAATTATTGCAGTCTCAATGTTATAAATTACAATCCATATTTAGGTATAGCAATTTGATTTTGTGCAGATGATATTAATATTGAATATTGAGTCGACAACACAATGGAACAAAAGACATTTCTGGAAATATTTAAATGTGATTTTTCAGGGAAACTAATATTTCTATGAAGATTATTATATTCTAACATGAGTATATTGCATCATCTACACGTATATAAGATTCGCTTATTTTGCATTATAGTTTAAAGCGTTAAATTCACAATTTGTGCTAATAGCAAATAGGCAAGTTACTGGTATTCTTGTATGACATTTGTCGAAATTATTTAAACTAATATAATGCATGTGTATTTTCATGAAAAATCCTGGACATGTAATATACTATTATACCAGTAAATATAATGATACACCTACGAAGCTATTTGTTCAATTATCCAAATCGTAAAATAACCATAATCTAATAAGAATAATCGAATATAGTACCAAATTGAATAAATATACATAAGAATCTTCGTCTTAGAAATTATAGAAGATATTATTTGAAACAAATAGTGAAATGTTACAAAAATAATGTACGATTATAAATCATCAATAATTTGAATTTTACATAGACTATAATAGTGCATAATTTATGGTTCCGGGCTTTTGCAAAATAAAAGTGTCACTTTTTACATTGAAATTAAAAATTTATTGAAATTGAAGTTTAATTTTATATTATAATTAAAGTTTATTTTAGAGACCGAAAATTAGTAATAATTAGGTCAGGTATATGGGGCTTCGCAGGGGCTGCGCCCTTCTAGCCCTAAAGAAATTTTTGCCCAAGACCCAAGAGGAGGACGCGAAGCCCCAGCCGAACCAGCCGGGATAAAAACCAAACCGTTTTTTTAAAAGTGGACCAGAACAACTCGGTTTTTTTAAAAAGTGACAAAACGCGTTTTTCACTAATATAAGAGATATGCAAACAAAAAAAGTGACAGGCCGCATGTTTAAACTAAAAACGCGGTGAAGGTGGAACGCAGTGCCGCCGTACCCAAGTTAGGGATACTAACTAACAATACAAAAATTAAAAATTATTTGGTTACAAATTCAATTTTTACAAGTCTGTCAGACAGAGTCATTGTGTTTAAGGATGATAATGCCATCAAATTATTAGTTTCTGGTTCAAAATTTAGCTCAATCACACAAAATAACGGAGCAGGGTGTGATATTTACATGAATTCAGGAAGCAGTATTATTCACAATATTTTGAGTTATAATGTGACTGATACCCATATTTACAATTATCTTTTAACTGGTTCCAACATGAAAAATTACTTCCTTCTATCAACAATGGATACCAGTAAAGGAGGTGATTATGGTGCATATGAAATTTATTTTGGCGAAGTGAAATATAATGATAATAATATTTCAAATACAATATGTATGAATTATGCTGCTGAAAATTTGTGGTTTGGTCAGTCAAATGGTATTGCATCATTTTCAAATTGTTTTAATAATACATCAACTTCTCTTGGAATGAATTATCATTATGGAAATCCATATTCAACAACGAAATACTATAGTATCATTTCAAATAAAATAACTGGTTCAAATGGAGATGGCACTGGTATTGTTAGCACAGGATTCCACGGTCTGAAATTATCAAATTCTGTATTATTAAACAATATTTCACCTAATTTATTCTATGTTTCGGAAAATGGTTTTTTAATAGTTGATTCAACATATATCAATGGTAATAGTTTCACGTATTCTTGTTCATTTTCCTATTCTGGTGGAAGTTTTTCAATAACAACAACAAGTTCATTCAATATTAACTTTAAAGAATACACAGATACTGATGCCTTGACATTTATAATAATGCCAAAGAAATGCTCAAATACTGCCAAATCTTCTACCATGAATTACCTACTTCTATTAGTAAACGAAGTTGCTGAATAAATTCACAATTGAAATTGCCTGAGTTCCAAGATTTATTAATAAAGGCAAGTTTATTGACAAAGACATCAACCGATACTAAGATAAAAATAATTTTAAGCCGCTAAGCGGCGAGATGATCCATAGGATCTCATATTTATTTTTCCACTATCTACCTCCTATTTTATTAAGTATTCCTTCAGCTATTCCACCAACTGCGTTACCTGCTTGTGCTCCCATCGCCGGATTACCTGCTTTAGTACCTAATACTCCACCTATGATAGTTCCTGCCGTTTTCGCTACTGGTGCCAAAAAGTTTGCAATGGGTTTAATGCTATAATTGTTGTGCATGAAAAATAGAGTGACTTCACTTTTGACAAAAAGTGACATTATTTCTGATGGTTTTGTCATTTATTTGTCAGATTTATAAATGGATAATAATGCTGTAAATCAGATATTAATTAAAAATATTTAAGATTTATGTTCGAATTGAAAAGCAAAATGATATTTTTTTAATTGAAAAACGTTAATATCTGATATTTTGAAGTTTTTAATATTTGTTAGTATCTTAAATTATTGAATGCATACGTTTTTTATGTTCTCAATTTTAAAAAAATTGTGAAGAATTTAGTTTTTTGGAGATGGATGTTTAATATTTGTGAGTGAGAATGCAAGCAGGAGTTTGGTACTTTAAGGCTAGGTTGAGATAGATTTCCCATTATATTATCTGTGAATATATTGTTTGAAAATTCAAGATATAAAAATATATTATCAAAAAATTTTATATTTTTAAATACAATAGGGTGGAAATATAGTACAATGAGATAGCAATGATATATTTTATAATGGGAGGTAATCTGAAGATAAGTAGCAAATTTTATGCGATTTTGATTGGGAGTTGGAGGGTGTGAGTACTATAGCATGTAATAGTATCTCACACCCTCCAATTCTTCCTATGGCGCCGAAAAATTTTTGGTGAAATGCGACGACATTTCACCAAAAATTTTTCGGCGCCATATAGAGAACTATAGTCTGCGAGGTACTGATTCTATCTATGTACCTCGCAGACCATAGTTCTCAGCCAAAATGGCTAATAATTTGAGAGTCTATATGATAATGTAAAAGTTAAAACATTCAAGTATTTAAGTATTTCTTTAAAATATTAAGTTTTTTATTTTTCCAATAAAATTCTAATATCAAATATTTTTATTTAACGATTAATTTTATTTATATTTTTATAGTTTTTTTTAAGAAAAAATATTGTTAGGGTTTTATGGATTTTCAATTAATATACAAGATAATTCATGAATGTATATATTTCCAAGTTTTTAAGGATGCAACACTTTACATTTGTAAACTGTCAAAAATGAAGTCACGCTATTTTTCATGCATTACAGGTTTAATGCTATAATAATTCTGCTGACATGTTTGTTAATATGTTTTTTTTATCAGCCAAGATCATTTATGATTTATATGGCACAACAGCAAGATTGATGTGTGTTACTTTCACAACCTAGAATCCCCAAAATTTCATGCGATATTTATTTAAAATATATTGAAGAACAATGCCCCCTATTTACGTGGAAATGAGGTCATATGAGCATAAACTCTTTTGGAAAATTCTTAAAGGATACCTGTAAAAAGGCCTCTGTTACTATTCCTCAAGAATCGATAATTAATGAGGGTGTTAAGTATAATAGCGCCCCCTTTTTTTCGAAAAAATTTTCATATGAAGCACGCCCCTAAATATATTAGATTTTGGATAAACTTAATTTTTATTTTTAATCCACAACATATGTACTACATTTTTATCATTTATCAAATGATCCGAAATATGCTATTTAAAAATTTTAAAAATTTACCACCTTTTTGAGTTTTCAATTCAAAAAGTGTAAAAAGGTTGTCATTCTTTACGCACTTTTTCAATAAAATTTTTCATTTTTATTTTGAATACTTCACAAAATTTGAGTAGCAAATTGAAAAAGTGAAAAAAGAATCCATTCTTTTTAATTTTTACAAATGGATAATCTGGATTATAGCGAACTCTTATTAACATGTACAGATTACCCTGAAATTTTTAACAAATTGTACAGGTTTAATCCATGTAATGAAGCTGAAATCGCCAAACTTTTCGAAGATATTAAAAACAAAATAATTGAAACCAAGGTATATTCACCATCACAGATTCTGACAATCATTATGGATGCTTCGTTATATAATAGCAGCTACTTATTGTCATATTGGACCCTTTTCAAAAAGCTTGTTGATGAATATCAACCAAACCAAATCAAATTCACCTCAGATGTATTCTATTATATTTATTACAAGGAATATGGAGTCATTTTAGACGAATCTAAGCAAAAACACTTCCCTATATACGAACGTCTTAAAGTTTCATTGAATTTTCACCAAGAAAACCCAATTTACAGAGCAATTGTGAATGATGATAAAGAATTATTTGTATCACTCGCAGAAATACCAGGATTTAACCACAATAAAAGGCTGAAATCTGATTTTTATTTTTACAATTGTAAAAGAGGCTTATCACTACTTGAATTATGTTGTTATCATGGCTCTGTTAAATGTTTTAAGTTTTTAAAAGAAGAACATGATTGTACAATCACTCCAGAATGTCCTCAGCTTTCATTCTTAGGCGGAAATCCAGACATCATGAGTCAATGCTTGAAATATCAAAAACCAAATAAAGAATGCATGAAATTTGCAATTATTTCACATAGCATTGATTTTGTTACATTCTTGATGAATGAATACAAAATTGCTATCGATGTGAAGCAATGCAGCGAATTCAATAACATTGAAGCATCATTAGTTTATTTACATCAAACAAAGAATGTCTTTGAATGGCTTCATTATTCAACTTATTACAAAATTCCATCACTCTGGGAATATCTTTTTGCACATGGTCTTGATATCAATATTCAGAATGGACAAAAAGACACAGCTCTCACAATGGCTGTCGAACAAAATAAAATGGATGCAGTTGAAGCTCTTATTATGCATGGTGCAAATGTTGATGCAGTAAACAATTGTGGAAGGACTGCACTGATTTTGGCAGTACAAAATAAGCGTTTAGATATTGCTGAATTTCTTTTTCAGCATGGTGCAAATATCAATGCAACTGATAAAAAAGGAGTATCCGCTATTCATTTAGCAATCAAGAATAATTTCATAGATATAATAAAACTATTTATTTCTAATGGAGAAGATATAAATGCATCAGCTCTAAACAATGCTGTCATGTTTAATTCCAAAGAAATCGTAGATATTTTAATTTTACATGGAGCAAATATTAATGCAAAGGGTAAAAATGGAAAAACAGCTATTCATATAGCAGCCATTTATGGTAGAAAGGAGTTGGCAGAATTATTATTATCAATTGGCGCCGATATTAATGCAAAAGATAAAAAAGGAAGAAATGCTCTTCATCATGCAATTGGACAGAATGATCTTGAAAGTTTAGAAAAAGATTTGGAATCAGAAAAAATAGATATTCATTCAAAAGACATAAATTATGATACATATGTTGGATGGTCAACAAATTTAACCGATAATATGGATATAGTTGAACTTTTAATATCTCATGGTATTGATATAAATTCAAGAGATAATGATGGAGATACAGCTCTTCATTTGGCAGCATTCCTTAATGTAAAAGATGTAGTAGAATTTTTAATACCAAAATGTGCAGATATTAATGCAAAGGATAATTACGGAAAAACTGCTCTTCATTGGGCAGCTTTCAATAATAACACACAATTAGTCGAATTTTTAATGTCAAATGGTGCAGATATTTATGTGAAAGATTATAACGAGAAATCTGTCCTTCATTATGCAGTAAGTTACGGGCGCTTTGAAGAAGTAGATTCTCATGATAAAGATTACAAAGATTTAGTAGAAATTTTAATTACTCATGGCTTGGATGTCAATGCAAGAGATAATAAAAATCAAACTCCTCTTCATTACGCATCACGCTTATATTATCCAGAAAAAGCTGAATTTCTTATTACGCACGGAGCAGATATCAATTCAAAAGACATTTGTGGATCGACGGCCCTTCATTACGCAGCGCAATCATTAAGACCTGGAACCGTCAAAATCCTTGTTTTGCACGGTGCAAATGTCAATGAAAAAAAACAATGAAAATCAAACTCCTCTCTTCCTTGCGACTGAAGTACTAATTGACGATATCAAATATATATATACAGAGAGACTGTACATGCACCGTCTTCAGTCAGAAATAATTGAGTTTCTTACTTCGAATGGAGCAATTGCCACTAAGAAAGATAATAGAGAATAATTGCTGGTTAGGAAAGTACTAAACAAATTACAATTTTTCGCGTGACTTTTTCCCTCAATTTTTGAAAAAGTCAGCGCGAAAATTTTGATTCTTTTGATCTTCAAAATTATTGGAATCGAATTTTGTAAAATTCGATTCCAATAATTTTGAAGTGAAAAAAGAATTAATTTTTTTCATTTTTTTTTTAGAATTTTTATGAATCATAAATCACTTTATTACACAAGGCTTTATTTAGAAGCTTATGGTGCAATTGCAGGATTATTTACTCAGATTCTTGGATCCACAACTGAGTGCAGTTTAAACTTTAAAAATACCAGAATTCCTCCAAAAGTTGAAAATCAACCAATTCCAGTATCAAAGCCATCATCCATTATCACATGCTTTTGGAATGACTATTCCAAAAAATCACTAATCAATGCTCTAAATGTTAATAATCGCCTTACAGCAATTGGATTATTTTCAAGGAACACAGGAAAATATCCGATCATTAAAACTGTCGTATCAACTGTTGTTTCAACATTTGCTAGTTCAGCTTTGACATATCCTCTTGTCTATGCACAACAGAAATCAGGTTTTACAAATATTAAAGAGGCAAATGACGCAATAGCTCAAAATATAAAAGGAAAACACTATTTAAGTCTCTATCGCGGCTTTCTTCCTCACTCAATTTACAATCTTAATTCGAATTTGTTTTCAAATCTTCTAACAAGGAAATATCTTCTTCGTAACAGGGAACCTTCAATTGCAAACTCATTCTTATTCGGTTTTGCTACGAACATTGTCTCTACAGTTGTTCTTTTCCCTTTGAAAAGAGTTAGAAATGAAATTATCAAACTAGAAGAGCATAAATCAAATGAATTTGTCGAGACATTTACAGTATTCAAGGATATTTGCAAAAATAGAACATTGTACAAAGGAATTATTAACCAAATAGTCGTATCTGCTCCACAGTATGCATTAGAAACGGTTATTATCTCCCAGCTTTACAAGGCTCAAGAAAAAAGAAGAATTTCGTATTCAAAACCTGCATTTTTCACAAAACCTCCAACAAAGAAATACGTTCCTGGAAAGAGGTGGTGGTAAATTGTTATGATTGTAGAAATAAACTGTTACATATGTTTTTTATTCTTTTGCTTTTTTAATTTCAAAAAATATTTAGCAAATTAAAATATTTGAGTAAGACATTTATCTTATTTATCAATAAACTAGCGATATAGCACCATTCGCCCATCATATTCCAAAGATAGGAAATCCAGAATTTTTTTATTATGCTTATGATTGTATATAATATAAATTTTGTATTAATAAGCATTGTCCTGTCAAATATTTGATCGTTAACATCTCAGGAAAGGAAAATTGATATGAATTTCCGAAAAATTGTATTTAAGCGCCTAACGTATACATGTATGTCATCTCTACTCATAATGAAAGGAAATGTATGCGTAGTATGTTGTTTGCGAAATAGAAAAAATTATGATTGTAAAATATAGAATTTATTAAACAAACAGATAATAATTATATGTACTAATTAATGTCCGGCTAATACTGAGTGAAAATATCGATGGATCGAAACTGTCTTGCAGAAATCAAGTAAAAATTGAATTGCAATAAGGACAGAGATGAGCCCTAATGGCAAAAACCAAAATACTAGTATGAAAATGCATGCATCATCGAAGTAATTTTTAGAATAATAAAATCTCTTCCAATTATGGGAGAAAAATGTATTAATATCTTCTGTGTACGATATACCTATCATTGAAATTAGAAATTGAAGAGTTAATATTGTTGAAATTCCTCTGACTTTGAAATAAAGATAATACCAGGAAACTAAAAAAGATAAATGTATTATAATTGGAATATCATAATATCTGACTGATAGTATATGTAATATGATTGTCTCGAAGACCGAGTGAGCGGTGGAGACCTCATAAAGAACAGAATCAGTCATATGTCAGCTTGAAATTTGAAAGCACTGAAAATAAATCAAGAAACATAGTGAAAATAATGTGAGGAAATCATTATCTATATAGATCTTATTTCGCTAGGCATATCGTTAAAAAAATGTAAGAGAGTATTGGTAAAGATTGAAATAACACATTGAATTTATCATGATTGTTTTACGAACCTTCTCAGAATCTTGACAGTTGTCATTCTCAAGTAAATATATAAGAATCTGAATAATTAGGGGATTAAACAAGAAGTTTATCTTTGATAATTGATGTTTTCATCAAATTTCACATGAATTTTGGAGAAAAGTATGATCTTTTTGAAAATGGATTACACAAGATAAACCAGTAGCTAACATTTATATGAGATTATGAATGAAATCTAATACTCGTAAATATTTCCAACAATGAGAATAAAATTTAAAGATATTATTAAACAAAGCAAATATATGAATATTATATTAAGTAAAGATTATATAAACTTTTTATTTATTTTAAACCAATATAATTTTTCTACATAACTTATAGATTTCTGTGTATTCTTGTCTGTCGTGTACTAAGTTCATTAAGTAGCCGACGTTCTGGATAATAGGTCCAGAGTACATGTTGTGGCGTTCAACAATTGTGAGATAACTAATTAAGTCAGACAAATCATTATCTCTTGGTTTTCCTTCGTATTCAATGATATCTGAAACAAATTGGCATTTTTCGTTTAATTTTTCATGGAAAGGTGACAAAACATTTCTTAAATCATCTTCACTTTCGCAAATGAAAGGAACAATCTTCATAATCTTAGACATTGTTTCCACGTCGTTTTCAATGTCAACCTTCAAAACGTTGACAATAAATTCTCTCCATTCTTTGACTGTCTTTGATTTGACGTCAATTAAATTCAAAACCAATTTTGCAGATTTGATTGATGAAGAGAAAACATAAGAATATTTGGAAACTTCGTTGATATCTGTAAGTAAGAATAATCCAAACTCATAGAAGTCTTCTTTCATTACATTTGCTGCATAATTCTTGATGAAATCCGCAACATTAAATTTGTTTTCTATCATGAAATTCCATACTCTGTTTCGACTTTCTTTTGAAAGAGTCTGTTTGGTCGCCAAAGCAGCGACTAAATATTGAGAATTCTCAGACAATTCCTTAGAGAAATCATTCGTTTCGAAAGCGATTTCAAGTAATTTGTCCTGAGAGAAATATTGAACTTTAGAAATCGAAAGAGGAAGTAATGACAAAATCTCTCTTTTCTCATCAATCATCTGCAAAAAGTGAATGACTGCACCATAGTTTTTAACATATAATTCTCCAAGATTTAGTTCTGAAACAAATGCCTTCAAAGCAGATTTGTGAAGTTTACAAAGTCTATCGACAAAAGTGACAATTACATCATAATGAACTTTAATAAATGGACCAACAGGAAATGCGTAAAATCTGATAAAATCTTTGGCAAAATCTTCAGAAATTTTATCATCATGGATTTTTGGCAAAATCAAAGAGAACAAATTAATCATTTTGATGTAAAGTGCGTTGTTTTCAAGAGATTTAAGTGGAATCATCTTAAGTAGCAATTCATCTGGAATTTCAATGTCACTTTTTTGTAAAAGAACTATAAATTCTTTAATGTGAACATCGTAATCGAACATGAACTCTGATAACTCAAAAAATGACTTGTAAACTAAAGAATAATCAATCTTACATTCTTTCGACAAAAACTGCAAGCATCTTAAATAATCCTGGCCAATGTATTGAGTATTTCCTTTGTCATAACTTTCTCTGACAAGTGATATGAAATCTGTCAAATGTGAAGTCATGTAATCTGTCACTTTTTGTGCATTTTGCAAGTAATTATCATATTTCTTCATTGTGTAGGATTTCTTGTTATATGTCAATGTTGTGCATGAATTGAAAGAATCCAGTGGACAAATGAAAGAAATCAATTGCATGCAAGCTGTTCTCGTGTCAACATCATTGACTAAATACTTAAGAAGCCATTTATCCATGTTTTCTAGGTATAATTCGCGTTGTGAAAGTGATAAAATTGCATGAATTGTGGTAAAGTCTTTGTCAGAAACAATATTTTCTTCAATTTTACACTTCACTTTTGACATGATGTCAAAACCGTTTTCTTTGTAAATTAGCATAATTGAAGTTGCCAATAATTCGAAGTTTTTGACGAAAACTGAGTGTTTTTCGATGAAATTCTCGAATTTTGTGAAAACTTCATCTCTTTTCTCGAACGCCAACAAAAAGTTAACAATGTGTTGTGGATCTGACTTAGTACCAAAGATAAATTCAAGTAAATCCTCTTTCAGTTCATAAGGAATTGTAAATTTAGACAAAGCATTGAATAAATAAGAAATCTCAATTTGTGAATTGAAAAATGTTTCTTTCAAATCAGGTTTCTGTTTCTTATATTCTGGAATGTCTTTCTCTAAAAATCCAAAGCCTTTCTCTAATACTTCTGTGTCACTTTTTGTTGTCAAACCGTCAAAAACAATGAAATAATGTTGTATGTAATAATATTTCTGTAATAATTCTGGTAAAAGTGACGACCAAAACGTGACATCAATTCCAGAAGTTTTGAGGATGATTTTTGACACGTAATCTCTTAATTTTTCACTTGGTGACAAAATGATATTTTTCATGGCACTTTTGACGATAGAAATATCAACATTTTTGTCGATTTTTTCTAAAATGTTTTTACCAATTTTTTCAACAGAACTCATGAACGTTGTGAAAGGAATTGTGTCAAAGAAATATCTCAAAACAACTGGTATATAATCTTTGTTTTCAGACAAGTTAATCATCAATTCATTATAACTTTGTGTGCATAACAATTGTGTTTGTTGTAAAATGAGATTTTCTCTTTCGACAGCTTTCTTTGTTTCATCAGAAATCTGGTCTAATATCTTTGTTTTATCTTCATTTTCTGTTTCTTTCAAGTCTTCTCTATCATAGAACAACAAATATCCGCTTTTTCCTGTTTCTTGGCCAGAAGAATTCTTCAAAACATCTTTTTCGCCAATTAAAGAAACAGAAGAGTCATTGAAACAATACCATTTTCCATTGACTTTCCTTTCTTTAATATACGAAATGTAATGACCAGAAAAGGCACTGCCCATGTGACAAATCACGCCCCTCAAATTAAATTTTGTCACTTTTATATTTTTTGTCACTTTTTTGAGATCAATTTGCAAAGGAATTTCCAAAACAGAATTAATTTTGAGTCTTTCCCATGTTGTGTAATTGTAATCAAATCTACTTAGTTGTATGATCAAATGAGGTGGTAGATCTGTCACTTTTTGTGATTTGACAGCATCAATTTTATGATCGAAACCGGACGGTTTATATTGATTATCATTTGTGAAATAATCAACAGCGTTAAACTTTTCAAGGGAATCATCGAAAGAACTGCAATCTTTTACAGCTAACGAGAGAGTGTAATTCTTTCCATATGATTCTGAATGGTATTGTTCAGACAAACCATCAAATGAATTAGAAGTTGTTTGTTGGAACATGTTTTGTATGAAATCTTTTCCTAAACCGTTTTCTAGTTTATCCAAAAGACTCAAAACAAATTCATAAGCATCTTGTTGTGTGTGTGGATTCATTTTCTCTCCATCCCAGCCTATCCATTTATTAACTAAATGCTCTGTAGTTATGCAATTCGTCTTAGCAATGAATAATTTCGCATAAAGATTTGACAGTTCTTTCATGAATTCATCATCTCCTTTGTATGAAATTATTTTCTCTCTTAATTCTGGTATCATAAAGAACTGCTGCAATGTGGAATCCAAGAAACATGTTGCTCCTAAATTAATCAAACCAACATAATCGGATTTCGTTAAATTCAAATCACCGTCATATTTCTTATCGTCCCATTCAATTTTCTTGTCATGTAAATCTTTCAATTTATTTAATAATTTTTCGTTTGGCTCCAAAGAAATTATTTTCATGGCTAACGAATTGATCTCTTTTGAATAACTCTGTTTACGATCAAAAGTGACAAATTGGTCGATCAACAAATCAATTATTTCCTTCTTGTGTTCATTTGACAGTAGTTTTCTCGATATCAACTCTTTCGTAAGTAATAAAACATTCTCAGAAATGTCACGTTTTAAGGAATTTACAATGAAAAGTGACAAATTTTCATCTTCTTTATTAATGTGAGAAGAGAAAACTTCGAAAAATTGAGAAGTGCCACCTTTCTCGTAAAGTGGCAAAAATTCTGACATGTCAAATTCTACATTTGTCAAAATTCTCTTATACATTATTCTTATGTTTTCTTGATTATTTGAAAGCAAATAATCGAAGTATTTCGATGGATTTGAACACTTCACTTTTTGACTTCCATTCAAAAACCTTAAAATAAATTGAGAAATTGTAGTAAAGTGGTCAGGTGAAGTGAAGAATTTTGGCAGAGCAGGCATAGCGAAATCGAAAACGATTTGAGCGAATTCATCTTTAGAATCCAAATTCTTTGAAATGAAATTCGTAATTTGGTCGATTATTTCGAAATTACAATTTGGAATTTGTTGTATCAAATAATTGAAGCCTCCTGTTCTTACTAGAGCTTGTTTGAGGTCTTCGTTCATATTATTTGATAATCCATCCAAATTGTACAAGAAGAAATTCGGTTTCGAAATATCCAAAAATTCTTTGTATTCAAATTTTTTGACAAATGGCAAAATTTTCAATTTCTCCAAAGTTGTTTTCAATGTTGGAATGTTGTCAAAGATCTGTTTGACGTTTGTTACATTGTTTTTAATTAGTTCTGTTAATAAGTTCATTGTTTTCGCGTCTTCCGGTATCATTTGGCTTGGAATTACTTCTCTAATCGGAGGAAGAGGATGATTTTCTGGAGTTATAGTGTTTGTAACGGCCATGATCGTCATTTCTTTCATTATCTTAAAGGAGGCATTGATAGGTTCGTATGTATGTGTCAAATTGAACTTCTTTTGCTCAACGCCTGTCAATTTTGAGATTTTAATGTGTAATCCGGAGATGGAAGTGCCAATAGGAACCTGGATATTGGGTATAGGACTCAATATTGGGCTGGTGATGTGGATTGAGACCTTCTCGTTGTTCGGATGATGCCTTTTTACGTCATATGAATCCAAATCAAGCGGATACTCGAAAATTTCAATGAATGTTGTGAGCAATTCGATCATCTGGTCCTTGTGAACAGTTTTCTCGGTCTTTTCAACCCATTTGTTGAGGAAAAGAGAAATAATTTTTCTGTCGGAAACAGAAACATCGTTTGAAGCGTAGAAATAGCAGAGATTCCTGCAGATCTCTTTATGTATGGACGATCTACGTGAACAATATTCCCATAAAACATCTTCGTACTGTAGAGGATATTCAATAATTTTTCCTCTGAGGGTAATTGTTTCATTTACGACTTGTGGCATCTGGTCTACTGATATATCGTTGATTCCCTTGATGAACATAACGATAAACTGCAATGATCCTGAATTTAATTCAAGATTACTCGAAATTATGACCTCGGAAAGGACATCTGGCTCAATTAAGCAGATATCTCTCATGTTGTTGAGGAAAGCAAGCACGCAGGTAGAGATTCCGGCATCAGAAGAGACTGCGGAAGGCCAAATTTTCTCGATTTGCCCTTTATTCAAGGGAACTTGGTTCATGAAGCAGACATTGAACAGGAAATCGTATACAACATTGAATTCCGGTATCTTGTCCTTTGTTACGAAATCTAATCCGGTATTTGCCAAATTTTCTGCCAATTCCTGGCTTCCGAGTGGATAATTGGCCGTAATATTCTTGAGGAGTTCGATTGTTTCGATCGTTATCTTCGAATTTGTCATTTTTTCCATCAATTCTTTGAATTCTTCTTCTGAAAGATGGAATTGTATGATTTGGCTCAGTGTAGACAGTGCTTCCTTGTCTCCATCGTCTTTCAATGTGTTCAAATAGTCTCTTAACTTCATAAATTCGGCTTTTGCATCGTTTCTTCCGCCTAATGTGGTTCCAACGCCTTCAATCATGGTGTACCATGGAGATTCCTTGGTCTGTGGGGATATGATGAGGTCAACAAAGTCGGAAAGCATCGATTGGTCGATCATTTTGGCAATTGTTGAGAAAATCGAGTAAAACTTAGGTAATTCACTGATATGGAGTGTAGAATATCTGGAGAATAGCTTGGAAATGAGGGAAAATTCAACAAGATGTGCAGAACAAAGTTGGTTTAAAAGATATCCGATGTAACTGCAAAATTCTTCATGTAAAACAGAGCCATCGAGGACAGATGGGTCCTTGGCGAATAGTGTTTTAGTAATTTCGGCTGTTTTTTGTGTTTCCATGAGATCTTTGATTGTTTGGAAGCCAAATAATCTTTTTTCGAAAATTTCTGGCTTCATCATGAATGTAAGTAAGTTTAACCACTTTTGTATGAAATCAGGATCGATTGTTTGCTGACTAATGCCGTTTGCTTTCAAACTTTGGAACATTCTTGAAACCATTTGAGTTTTTACTTCTCTGATCTTAATTGTCGTGACGATTTTGGTCAAAGCGTCAGTAGTAACGTTGGCTAATACCCAAAAATCGTAATCTTTAACAAAAGTTGAGATTCTAATGCAAATATTTGTAATATAATAAAGATTATCAATAGTATCGATGCCATTTTTGACGAGTTCGATAGCATTCTGGTAGATTCCGATCTCTGCACTGTATTTTGGTAAATTTACTTCGAGTTTTGAATCAGAATTACTTGGAGCGAGGCCAGTCTCTAAATTTGCAAGAATGTATTCGATTATATAAATTAATTTCGTTTTATTTGATTTGATTCCGTAATTTCCGAGTCTAAGGACTGATTCGAGGAAATTTACGTAATAAGATATGTATTCCTTTGGTATTGCTCCTAGTTTCAGTATCTTTGGCAAGAACTCTGTCTGAATTTGTGAAAGAAAATTGTCTGTATACTCTTTAATCTCATCAGGTAAATTTCCTGTTTCAATTACTGAAGAAATGAACTTAATGAGATCAGGAGCGTACTTCACAAACTCTTTTGGAGTACTTATCATGCTAGATGATACTGCTAACCATGTTGCAAAGTCGTCAAAAGGAGAATTCATTATAGTGAAAAAAAAAAGATAAAAAAAATTTCGTATTCAAAAAAGCTGCCAACTTTCAATTTCCAATTTCTTCTCAATTTGCTAAAAATTTTTACTTGGAAATTTAATAAATTTAGATTCATTCCGTCTTGTTCTATATCCTAATTATTGTCTGCCGCTTTCCATTATCGTAAATTATTGATCAAGAATCATCTCAACTTGACCAACTATTTTGGACTTCATAAACTTTCGTGTGCACATTAGTATTAATTAATGCTTAGACAGCAAGCTTTCAAAAGAATACAGCTTTAATTCTGATCGATGATATTGAAATTTTAAATTTGATATTGATATTCCTGGTCACGCATCAAATGCTTCCTTCTCTCATGTTGGTGATATGCATGTAATGTTAATAGTCTCTCAAAAATATATTGTTCTTAAAAATATATCTGAATAAAAAAAGAATTGATAAGCATAAGCTAAAAGTTAGTATGATATGTGCACACATATCAAATAAGTTAGTTATCAAAGCACAGAAACTTAGGTTTAAACTTTCAATAGCAAATTAAGGGTAATCAGCAAAGACAATCAAATTTGTGAATCGAACATGTTTGCCAAGCTCGCTTTTATGTGCATTATTGATGTTATAAGCAAAAATAAAAATAATTTTCTTAAATGTGATATCCTACCTAACATGACTCGTTCTAATCCATGTGTTATCATTTTTTGAGTAGATTTCATGTTGTCACATGAAAACTCTCATACAAAATTTCATCGAGAATTTTGAAAGACAAAAACAGCTGATATCACAAGCGTAAATTCATAACAAAGACCAGTCAATATAATTGAACTATTACTTGTTGAATGAATTGTCGGTAGAAAGATTTGAATTCAGTTTGAACAATGTAATATTGAGCATTTGTCCAAAGGAAAGAGAATTTCATGTTTGAATAACTAAAACATGTTAATTCAGCTATAGATTTGGTATGAGTTTTTATACTGCTGTATATTTTGATCAAACTATGGTTTAATGAATTCTAATATAGCCGAAACTGATATGAAGTAGTAAAAAGACTGTCTTAATGACTAATTCTTGGTATATGTTGGAAATATATCTAGATATCGGGAAAAATATATCTTGATTCTATAAAGGAAGATGGTGAGAGTAGTATAATCAAATAATAGTAAACATATCATAAATTATATGCATAATGCCTTATTTGAATATGTGGATGAAAACAAATCCACCTTTGGAAAAGAAAATGATATCTTGAATTTAATGAATTATGTCTATAGTATTGAGGCATTAGCATAAGGCATATTTTTATGCATGTGACAACAACATTTGAAGTGAAACAGATTCAAAATTTCCAGCAAGTTACTTATTAAGCTTTATTTCATATTTTTACTAGATTTAAGCGAATTAAAGATCCGATTTATTAATCACCTCATTACTATGAAAATGTCACTTTTTATTCAATTTGCGAAGTCCAGGTCAAATTATAAAAACAAAAGATGAATCGTATAATTACAAGCACTCTAAAAATTTCACTTAACTATTTCACATTTACCCTTATCGAGCCAGTTATTTGAAAATAGTGTCAAACCGCAAAAGTACATTAATAAATGAGTAAGGCAAATGAAATCAAACTTGTCGTTATTGGCGATGGTGCCGTCGGCAAGACTTCACTGTTATCAGTTCTCAAGGGCGAGCCATTCCCAGAGAGATATGTTCCAACAGTTTTCGATAACTACGCTTTAGATGTTACACACAACAACAAGCCATACAGGCTTCACATTTGGGATACAGCCGGCCAGGATGAATTCGATAGACTTCGTCCATTATCCTATCAAGATGCAAAAGTAATTCTTATTTGTTTCGAGCTTGATAAACGTGCAAGCTTTTCAAACTTATCTGATCGTTGGATTGCTGAAGTTAACTATTTCTGCAAGGAAGTCAAAATGATTCTCGTAGGTTGCAAAGCTGACCTTAGAGAACAGTCAAATGAAAGCGTTAGTGATGAAGAGGCCCTTGCCTTTGCAAAGCAGCATGGTGGCATCCCATATATCGCCACATCTGCTCGTACTGGCCTTAACGTAGATAAAGTCTTCCCAACCGCTATTGATATTACTTCAATTAAGAAGAAAGGATGCGAACTTATATAAATTAATCAATCCTCGTTTTTTATTAAAAGTCTTTATTTTCCTGCCATACGAGTCAAAACTACCTTTTTTTACTTGTCATAAAAATCGATTCTTCACAAACGGACTTAATTAATCATTCGTTATTCTGATAGTATTAGTTTACTATTCGAGTATATTTATTTCCTATAAGTATCCTGGCTAACTGCGATATTTAGACTTTTTTTTACTTGACATTTCGCAACCACAAAGATTACCACGATATCGCAAAAAATAGTGTATGAGATATGTTGATCATATTTTAATATATACTGTCGATTTATTTTTTACTTTTTTTTATTCAAAATTCATCCATTGATCATTTTTTAATCCGGGCATAAATATAATAATTTTGATCACCCTTACTATCTGAATTTGTAATATTTTCCTTATAAATAGAATTTATATTGGAAGTTTACAATAATGTTGGAGAAAAAATCGTGAGATGGCAGATAAAAATAGTATAAATCAAAAATAATTCAAACAGTTTATATAATATAGTAGTCCAACTATACAGTTCAACGGCTCGTAAAATTACCAGATATTTATTTCTTTGGACTATGTGATTTTTTAGGACTCAGAGACTCAACTATTTTGATTGTTTCGTCTAAGTACTTTTTCCTTTTCTCCCATTTAATTTTTTCATGGTCAGCATTTGCAGCCATGGAAAAAGTCGACATTTTAGTGTAAATTGGTTCCTTCGGTATGGAATCGAGAACCTTTTGTAGTCGGGCTCGTAATTCATGTTCTTTCTTCTTAAGTTTTTTATAATGGTCATCATACAATTGTTCTTGTGATTTAAGCCTCTTTTCAACAATAGAATTTATTATTTCTGTTAGAGAATTAATGTTCTGCTGTTTATACTCGGGATAAGCATTATAAACACTCCTTAACATTTCTGATTGAGTTTCAGACCTAATAACATCTGGTATTTCGCGAATTGCGATTTCTACTTCGCCAATATGCTCATCTATTGTTGAAGTGTTAACTTCTTGTAATGTTTTATTTGTTGGATGAATTTCATGAAGAATTTCTAAAAGAGCAGTACAAATTAGATTGTATTTGCTACCTTCAGTTTTAATATCATCCAAATTATTAATATAACTTTCCAATTTTGAAGAAATTCTACGATTTTGCTGATTATTGCAGATTTTTGTATATTTTTTGATATCATGAGATATTTTGTTCAAGTTTGTATGAAGTTCTTTAACTTGAGAGTTTACAGCTTTTCTCATCAGTTTTAATTCATTTTTAAATTCATTGCATAATGACTTTGTATTTCTTAAGAATTCATGTGTGCTATCGATATATGTGTCTTTTGATTGTAAGTCAGAGCTAATAAAAGTACTTCTTGAGAATAATTCATCCGTTGATTTTGTAGTATTCTTTTTCATTGCCATGTATTTCTCTCTTAGCATTGCGTTTTGCTCTTGCAAGTATGAGTTTTTGACAGCTGCCTTTTTTTGAAGAGATTTTAATTCAAGCTCAAAAGAGTTCTTTTCTGCGATCGTTTGTTCTAATTTATCAATTGTATCTTGGAGAAATTGCTCTCTTTCACTTTTCAAGCTTGCCATAAGTGCTTTTTCAAGTGATTTTGTTACTTTTATCGGGTCAATATGTTTAGATTTGAGTAACTCTTTAGTTTTTTCTGTCATTACCTGTTGTATAGTTGTATTTATGAAAAATGATAAATGCTGCATGCGAGCATCGACAATTGTAAGTTCAGTATCCTGCATTTATACTTTTTGCAGGGTCTTTTATTCTAAATGTGGGGATCTAAAATTTTGCTTTACATTTTATTACTTAATTCATATTTCATGGCGCAAGAATATTGTCATCTTCTAAGAGGTCTAAAACCTAATCTTGTATTTTATTCACGCATAAATTTGCCTAATTTACAAAAATTCAGCTAAATATTGATGCATTGGAATCTAATCTATAAGCATATATCCATATTATGCTATGTGTGATTAAAGCACCTTCTGTTCTAACACTTTTAACTAATATTTGAAATATTTATACAACAAATTAGATGATTTCAATCAATTAGTATCACATATGGGTAATGGTACATGTGTATTTAAACAAATGTTCATATTATTCTATTATGTCTTATAATATTCTCAAAGAGATTGAAAATCTGCATTAAAAACATAAAATTTACTATTAAGTGTATGATGATTGTACTATGCTATTGTTTGAATAAATATATTCAATGGACAAATAGTCATTTTCCCTCTAACAAATTTGAAAAAATATCAAGATTTAGGTAATAAAGATGCAAATTGCTGAAATACTGTTCCTATGTGATTATAAAGTACAGTTAACTATAGTCATAGTCACAAAATAAGATGGACGATAAAACGGAGAAAAAAAAATATGAGTGATGGTATCTATCGTCTTATTCAATCTCTAACCGCAATCAGATGGATCCAGAAAGTCTTCTCGACAAAGCGGCTCTATTGAAGGAGCCCGAGGTTAAGGAGCCAAAAGATAAATGCATGACCGCAGCTCTTGTCCTTTCTATTCTTGTTTTTCTTGCTTCTATTGGCACACTTTTATTCACAACAAGATCATACATACAGCTTCATCAATCACGTGTTTTAACACCAACCGATTCCATAATTCAACGTTTACTTAACAATTCTAATGATTATATCCTTCCAACACGTTTTGGAGTTAATGAGTCATTTATTACACCACCAACAGATCAAATGCAGCGTGGCACATGCTGGATTTTCTCCGTCGTAACACTTCTTGAGTCACAATACCGTGCCCAAGGCATCAAAAACGGCTGGTTAAACGAATCAGATTATGTCAACTTTTCAAAGCAAGCCTATGGTGCTTGGGTTGTTGACAAGTGCATGGCTACAGGCCGTAACTCCTCAGTCTGCCATCACAGTGGACTTTGGATCAACGAAACAACAGATGGAAAAGCCGATTCTCTTGTTTCCCTTTCCAAGGACTATCCAGACATCATGAAATCCGTTCTCCCAGAGTCCGTCTGCCCATACATCCCAACACCAAGCGCAGAAACCGACAGAGAATGCCCTGGAATGGAAGATGCCCTCAAGAAGAACCCAATTGAGTTCAAAGTCCTCTCCTGGGAAGCCGCATCCGATGTCTACCACACAAAGAAGCTTCTCTTCAAAGCACAGCGCACATTAACAGTTGGAACTCCACTTGCCGAATTAATCTACTACGTACCATGCGACAGCGATGCCTGGAAGGATGACGATGTTTGCACAGCCGCCAAGCGCGTTTCCTGCCCAACAAATTACAAATCCCAATATTGCGGAATTGTCACATTCGAAGGCCGTCTTCCTGATGGCACTTTCACCCTCGTCGACGAGAAGTTCAACCGTTCCGCCAAATGGGGCGGCCACGCTATGAATGTCGTCGGATACAACGATGATTGGGTTTACAGGAACCGCCATGTTACAGACGATTCCTTAGCCAACCTCAAAGGCGGCTTCATCTACCACAACTCCTGGCGCAACAACGGCCACTCATTCGAGTATTTGCTCGGTCGCAGATCAGAAGAGAACGAAGCCGTCATTTGCCCTAACCACAACCATCCACAGAACTGGGTTCCAGGCAAACTCGACTGCCTCAAGCAAAATAACGGCGATGTAACTAAATGCGGAACAGAATACAAATACGTACGCGGAAAAGGCACAATCAACCATACAGACAGATTGGTTTGCGTCGATAAGAGCGGTCGCTGCAATCCAGATAGATACTACGCGCTCTCTCAGAGCGATCTTCCAGATGAAGATGTCGCAATCGACCATCTCTTCACAGGAATGGACAGAACGAGATTTGTATCATGGAACAAGGACGGAACAGACGTCAAATACGAGTACATCGAGAAAGTTCCGTTCTCTTATCTCTGGAAGATCATGAATCCAGATCCAGAAACATTTGTAATGAACGACATCCACCAGTGCGGCTACTACATGATGCCTTACCAGGTCTTGGAGAGAATGAACAGACAGAACTGGGCAATGCTCGATAACTACCACGCAACAGACATTCAGGTAGAGTTCTCTCCGAAATCGTACTTGGCAAACAAGAACAAGTACAAGGAGTTGGACTACTCCCTCTTAGAAAAGTCTTCTTGGACTATCAATAAGACCATGTTCCATGGCCCACTTCCATACAAATACGTCTTTTAAAACTAAATATTTAGATTTATTTTTTTCATAGTTAAAAAATTTCATAAAAAATATTTTTTTAAACTAATTCATCATTATAGCGAGTAATCATTCAGATTCTTAAGAGTGCCCTTATGCCCTAATGATAGAGATTATTCTTTAATTATTTAGATAGGAATATTCCTTTTTATAGAGTGCTTGAGAACATAATAAATTTTAGTTGCTCTTTACATAGTAGTACTTTAATTTTATGGGAAACCATTAAAGAAAGCATTACTACATTGTTCCACATCATTCAACATAAGTCTGGTTTTCACATATATGTACTATTATGGGTTTCGATCTAATGAAAAACATATGATATACATCGGAGCATCGAAGTAATATCCCTGAATATTCTTGGATTTTTAATGATTTTAAGAATGTAACATTGTCCTTATTGCTGCTGGATAATGCAGTATTAAGTCAAACTGACCAAAAAAAAAAGAATTGAATCGATATAATTTTTTACAAACAATAATAACTTAGAGTCAAGATTAATAATAATCATATAATGTCTTGATTGGAGATTAAACTGGCATTGCATAATATCTTCTTTGTATTTGAGATATTTTTTTTGTATGATGATTTCATACTATGAGCATAGTCATGTTCAAGCTGATGCTTTTCTTGTAAGAATTGAATTCTTCTCTTTAGATCTTTAATAGTTAAACCATCATCTACAAAAAATCCAGTAAAATCGGCAAATCTGTTATTTTTGGTAATCGATTTATACTTTTCTAAAAGCTTTTCGAGATTGTCTTTCAGATTTGATATGTCTTTCTCATTTCTGATTAATCCGATATCAACTAAGTCTTTTGTAAGGCAACTATTGATCTTTTTGTTGTGTCTGTAATAGCTATTCATTGCTTCGTAGATAGAGTCAAGTGTTTCAATGTCAGGCAGTGTTGAATTCTGAGAAAGTAATTCGTTATAGTTCTCAACGAGCTTGTTTGTTTTCTTATCGAGTATATTGAACGTTAGTTTACCTTTTTCTTTAAGTGTCTTTATCTCTTCTGTTGTTTTTTCTTCTAATGTTTTATAATAACGATAAGCTTGCTGAACAGACTCAAGAGCGGCGTACTTACTGTCTCTTTCTATTAGAGCTTCACTTATCTGAACTCTAAGTGGACTTTCAATAATGTTTTTAGGCAAATCCATGAGATAACGATATTCCTATTGAAAAAATTGCCTATTTCCGTCTCAAATATTTGTCAATTGCTATCTTCTTACAGACATATATCCACTAGTATATGTGGGATTGTGCTAATCTAATTCAAATGGTTTCACAGGATTTCTCTGCCATTTCACCCCTATTGGATTCAAATTTTTCAAGAATTAATCGGGTTGCTAACAAAAGATTAATTACATGGCACAAGATAAATGAAATGATAAAGATTGGGCAAGGTTTGATTCTTTTATTTTAAATATTTTCAATTAATACATGAAATAATTCATTTAGGAAGAAGGTAAAAAGAAATTCTTAAGAAGAGAAATTAAGATGTGACAACAAATAGTATTTATGCCATTTTTGTAAAAAAAAAAATAATTTGATATTTGGCTAAGAAAAAATAATAATTCATCTGAGTAATGTTGATGTTTACTTTGTAAAAATCGAGTTCTGAAACTCAAAAAAAAACATTTATTTAGCTTGGGCTTCGCGGATACGCTTGTAAGCAGCACGAGCTGTGAGAGCAGCTGGTGTTGTTGGTGTGTATGCGCCACCGGCGACAGCCTTGCCGCACTTTGTGCATGTCCAGATGCCGACGGCATTACGCTTGACAGCATCCTTGCCGCAGAAAGCGCATGGATATTTCTTGCGCTGTGAGATTTCAATCTTCTTGATTGTCTTACGGAGGGAAGCACCATAGCGGACGCCATACTTACCACAGATACCTACTTTCTTTGTTCTGCGAGCCATTCAAAAAAAAGGAAAAGTGACTGTTTTCTGTTAAAAACGATTATTTCCCTTGTACCAAAAATAATACTTTCTTTCCTCAGCTAAATTACATTGTAATAGAACATCTACATGATGCTCTCTTCATCCATGTGTAATCATTTTTCATAGAACCCCCATGTTTTAATATGTCCAATATGCAAATTAGTGAAATCGACAAGTTTATAGCTTCCATTTTGATTTTTATTCAATGAAATTCAATAGAAGGAACCTGTTCATGAAAATAGCGTATAATTATTATAAAATTTTGTAAATTTGTTTTTTTAAGATCTATCTTTAGCAAATCGTTAAAACAGCAGCTGTATCATGGAATGCGCATTTAAAATGAATGACATAAGAGTTATTTTGTTGCATAGATCTAATCTGCCCTATTTCTTCTAAAACTCAAGAATTAGTATTTCCCTCTAGTAAAAAATGTAAATAGTTGGATATTTATTACTTCTGATAACAATTAATTCATTGGGAAAAATATCGATGCATATAGCTTTGTCTTTAATAAAATTTATTCTCATTAACTCAGTCATTTCAAAAACACTAGTTTTTTTAAAATTTATTGAATATTTGAAAAATCGCGAAATGCCATTTCAAAAATTTGATCTAATCGCCTCATAATATAGGATAATGTGTCTTCATGATAAATCTAAATGTCAAATCAGAAGGTTCTTGGAATAGCTGGATCCGAATTCTAAAATTTTGAATCTGACCAATGAATAATCGAGATAAGAAGCAAGATTTTTGCTTAAAAATCCAAATCATTAGTAAATACTATTGCTAAAATTTAATATAAACTACAGACAGAAATAAAAAAAATTATAAGAGCTAAAAAAGTATAGCAAAAAGGTTATCTAAGCGAAAATAAATTGCTCAGTAGCCATGTAATCAAAATTATATGACCCAAACATGCAATCGTGAACTATCTCTTGATCTTGAAAAACAAAATCATTATAAGGCTCAAGAGGCTCCATTGGCTTTATAGAATCTGGAGTATTATGAATTTGTGGTAACATTACAGGGGATCTAACATTTCCTTTGATCTTAATAAGGTCTCTAATTGAATCTGGATTGGGTTTATAACTGGAATAGACGTCGTCATCAAGAGAATTCGAAAGCCTTCTAGAAGCTTTATATTTTCCTTTCTTTGTAATTGCCATTGTTCTGTTATTCGAGAGGTAAATATAAAATGGCTTGTTACAAGACTTGCAAGAGAGTTTATAGATATGCTCGCTTGGTTTAGATACTCTGATATTTGATTCGAATAGGGTGGATAAACAACCGTGTTCAAGATTGAAGAATTTAGGCTCTTCAATTCCCAAACTACGAGCGGCATTACGATGGGATTCACTAACATTTTGGATCTGATCGCCCAAAGTCAATTTGCAGGCGCCACATTTACAGCAGATAACATTGACCAAATCCATATTAGGAATGGTATTGCTAACACTATGAAAAATTATTCTCAATTTACCATGACCTTTCAATCAAATAAAGCGGTTGAATTTATCGCTGTATCTGCTCTGAAAATTATTATTCGATAAAATATTATATACTATTTTAAACAGAATCGGGAAAGAACTATGCCTCCGGTTTATCTCAAATGCGATCAGAAATTTTTGAGAACTATAACAAAAGTTTGCCTTTCAATTCTCTCAAATGAAATCTTTCATTTCAAAGAAAAAAATTAAACCTAACCACATGTAATTCTAATTGGAATTCTGGAATCAAATGGGAATATCTATTTATTTTTTGTCTTTCTTTTAGTATGGTTTTTCCTAAATGTGTCTCAAAAATTACACGTTTTTACGTTCTATGGTTTGAGTTCGTGTTGATTATTTTATTAGTATATATGAAATGGAGTATTTTTTGTAATTTTCGCAATTTCGCATCATACCTTACTCACCGTATTCGAAAAGTGGTAGAATACAACGAGCCAAATGTCGATTTCGTTTGTAGATATGGTATGAGATAATGAAGTTATCATGGACAATATGAACAAAACTCAAAAAAATCAAACTTTTGGTCACCGTGAAATTCGCCGAATTATAGCCAGCGGGAAGAAGGAAATATTTACTGACAGCTACAATTTGATTTGTATGAGTTCAAACAAGAATAGAATGGCTTTCAAAAAAAAAATATAAATCAAAGAACCTGTTTTTTGTTTAATATGATTGCATTTTCTTCAAATTTTTATAGTAGAGCCACCCTGTAATTAGAACACCTTTTTCTAATCATTTTAATTCATCTTTATCAATATTCAAGCAATTCAAGCAAAATATTTATTGGTAATGATATGTTTAGAAGGAGTAATTGAGATTTTGATAATTCAAGATAATACTTTTTCACTTATGTAAGGATATGGGAGATTTCAAAAATTTTCTTATAGGTGAATGCTTATTGTTTGACTCATAAAGATTTTATTTCTGAACAGTTTCATATTCTTCATATTGGTAATATGGGTAACTTAGATTATTTCATTGAACATAAACTACTTTTCTTTTGTAAAGTCTCTTATTCAAATTTTTAATAGAGGTTCACTCAATATTGAGGCAGAAAAACGATAGGGAGACTTGAGGTAGGAAAATGGGTTTAAATTAATGGAAATGAAGTTTATTCTTGTAGTCATGGTAACTCTTAGACACAAATGAATTGTGTCTTAAGTTATTGTACATAATCTTTAAGTTTTTTAAAATACATTATTAAATTGTTGTTTGTCGCCTCTGTGGACTCATAGAAGTACAATTTTAGTAAGTTCTTGGTATAGCTAATTGGTGTGAATTAAATGAAAAACAATTTGAGAAAACGAAATTGTTGATTTCTTTAAGTTCAAAATGCTATAAATCTGACAAAAAAAAAGAAAAAAAAAAAAAAAAAAAAAAAAAAAAAAAAAAAAAAAAAAAAGGTAGTGGGGCTTCCAGGGGCTGCGCCCCTTCTAGCCCCGAAGATGTTTAGTATAAAATGAGGTTTTTATTCGGAAAATTGTTAGTCTTCTGGTGTGAATTCGGAGGACTCTTCGTGTTTCTCTTCTTCGTGTTTCTCTTCTTCTTCCTCTTCCATTGCTTCTGGGAAGAAGTCTTCTTCTGGGTCGAAAACATTATATAATGTGTAATTGAATGACACATTATATCTTTGTTTGAGTTCGCTCTTGACAAAGAACTTAGTTCCAGGAATACAGAAGACTTCTGTGCGTTGGAAAAGCTGATGTCCTGGAACAAATTTGGCAATTAGAGACTTCTTTTTTCCGAATTGTTCAGGAGTTTCCATGACGACAGTAACAACATCTCCATCTGCGAGGTCTTGTTGTTGTTCGGAAAGGTAAAGAGCAATGATATAAATGGTTGCTGCGTTGAATTCGAGAAAGTCGAATTCAAATTGTGTTGTCGTATAGCATTCAAACCATTTTGTACAGTTGTCTCCGAACTCGTCAACGTATTCATCTTGGTCATATCCGTAACTAAAGACTTGGAATTCGGCAATTGTCTTGTCGAATGACCGTTGGATGTTACGAGGAAGATTTTGACGAACTTGGTATAAAGTTCTCAACATTATAAGCTTAGTAAATGTTGGAAAATACTGAACTAAGACATCGCTAAGCTCAATTGGACTTGGAATTGTCTTAGTAAGTTCAATTGAACTAGCAATTGCTTTGTTCAGAACTTCACAGAACTGAGTATTGTATATAGCGTCTGGTTGTGTGTTTTCTTCGGCGTCTTTGAGATATTTAGAGCAAATTTGTTGAAGAATTTCTCTTAATTCGCTGTTAGACTTTTTGGCGGTTATTCTAACAGCTGTGCCAGTTCTTGGAGGTTGTGGGCTTTGGCTTTGGTTAGCGGTTGAGAATTGTTAATGTTGGCTTCCATTAGACAAAAATAAACTGTTTTTTCGGACTACTCATAGAAAAGTTTAAAATAAACCGTTTTCGTCAACGGTAACCCCCTCTTTTTTTTTTATTTTATTTAATAGTTACCGTTGGCAAACCGTTCCATCTCAAATATTGAATGAACTATAAACGTTTTTTGTTTTCTATATATACTTTTTTGTCCAACGGTAAAACTTTTTACACAACGGTTTTTGAGAGTCGTCGCTGTTGACTTTTTTGTAGAGCACTCAAAATAGTATAACTTTGTCCGGACAAGTAAGGGTCTATCGTCGCTACAGGAAAAGTTACGGGCGTTCCAAGGAAGTATACTTTTGAGAAGCCTTTCCCCTTATAGAATGAGATAGGACGGTTTTTTACAAAACTGACAACACTTTGACCGAGTAGTTTTTTGTGCTGAACAAAAAGTGTCATACAAACATCTGTCAAAAGCCGCTTTTAACTTCACTTAAAATGCCACGTAAGCTACGTAAGAATATACGTAAGAGGAAGAGAGCATTGAAACATCCAATAGTAAGACTGACACCACAACAACAGTTGCAACACAATGATGAATGACCCACTATGTTGCAACAAATGTCAAGCAACCTATGCTTTTAAACCGAGTTATTGTGCACAGAGTGGAGGTTTAAGAGCGGCACTTTTAGCGAAAATGGCAGTATGGTGGAGCTGCAGACGGAACAGCTATAACCCTCAAAGTCAAATGAATTTGAGTTCACTCAAAAATCAAATAGCAGATGTCAAAAAGTCAAACATAGACATACAGAAGCAAATAGGTGAAAACGAAAAGAAACTAGAATATGACAGACACACAAAGAAACTCAATGAGTTAAACGTAGAGAAAAAGAAAAAGAAGAACAACTGAAAGAACTAAGTACAGAGAATATGCGAAAAAGTGTCAGAAAAAGCAGCAGAAGTAGCAAAAATGGAACAAGATGTCATAAATTTGAAAACCATACTACTCAATATAAAACTGAAAGATGAAGAGATAAAACAAAAAGCCCTGAAACATATATGGATAGCGATGAGTTATAAAAGGAAGTTGAAGCAAATGTAAAGCAGAAAAACTTTTACAGTTGCAAAACCAAACCGTACAGTATGAAAACTTAGCACAAGAAAGTAAAAATAACGACGCAGCCATGCAAAAGGCAATGAAAAGCGCAGAATATATAAAAGCTAACAATGACTGGTTAGATGCCCAAGCCAACGCTAAAGCAGCCAACTCATAGGGTCAATAAGGACAAAAACAAGCGGATGAAGATAGTTCAAATGAAGCTTTAACGAATGCTGACTTAAGAACGCCTTCGAAGCTCTTCATAGTAAGGTGAAAAAGTGAACGATTCTCATCTGGAAAGAAACTGAAGTCTGAAGGTTTCGACAACGAGTTAAGAGAAGTAGCACAAAATATGACGAAAATACAGATGCAGCAAACGAGACAGGCAGTTCAAAGTGCCTATGACGCCGTTAGAGCAACTGTTTGTTGAAAGTCAAGAAAAGAGTTACAACAGACCAAAAACAGACCTAGTAATGCTTTCTTAAAAACGAAAAGTCAGGTAGGACATTACGCTGCAGATGGAACATATGTGCCAGCTGGTGGAACTTATATACCACCAAACCCTCCAAGAGAAGCACCTGCACCAGGACTACCTAGAACATTTACATCGTCACATGGACACAGACACAGGCATGCACAACAACCAGCACAACAACCACCTCCACAACCAGCACAACAACCAACAGTTCAAAACCCTGCACAACAACCACCTCCACAACCAGCACAGCAACCACAAACAGAGCAAGGACATAAAAGAAGTAGAGAACAAGGAAACCAAGAATTCTTAAAAATGCTTAAAGAAGAGTGTGGTTTCCCAGATACTGTTGACTTTAGTGACAGATATAAAGAAGCTATTGGAAAGTTCAAGGATGGAAATACTGACCCGAACCTATTTAGCTTTATGGCTCAGCACCAAAACGGATATAATCTCAAACCTGGAAAATACAAGCTCGCTAAGGGATATGATTTAATAGCATATCATCCAAATGACATGGATGAATTTACTCCGAGATATTTGATGTCAGAGCTAAATGACAATTCAACTTTCGTCATGAAACGCGTAAAAAATAGAGACGGAACGAAAGAACAAAAGCTTATGAATGCGGATGACGTAGATAGGGAAATTGTTAAAAACGGTCTCGGAATATATGAAATGCCAGCAGATGAGGTACAAGAAACTCCACAGGAAGAAAAGTTCAGATACAACCAGACATGGAAGAAATAGTTCAGCAACAACAGCTAGAAGAGCCTGAAGGAAACGAACAAGTCACTCCTTTGGAAACTAACTTCACAGAACTAGATGAAGATTTGGAACAGCCGAAAAATCTTGACCCTCAACAAGAGTATGCGGAGAATATGGAATATTTCCAAGAGTCTAAAAAAAATTCGGCTGACATAGTAGAAGAATATCGAAAAATGTTTGCCGACATACAAAAGACTCCAACACCAGATGAAAATATTCAGCATAGAATGGAAGAACTGAAAAAAATGTACACAAATACAACAACCCTTTTTACTTACGAGCATTTAACGTTCAATCTTCGGATGAACTCGGTGAAGATAAAAGGTTAAATTTCAAGAAAACATATAGAAATGAAACATTGTTTAAAGTTCATTCAGAACCTAACCAAGATGGAAACAAACCTACTTTTGTTTCTGCAGACGATGGAACTACAATGAGATGGGGTCATAAAGCTAACCCGGATAGGTGGTTCATAAACTTACAACCTCAATTCCAAGAAGTTGTAGACGCAATGGAAGTCAATGGTGAACCAGATATAGCTGGTATTTTAAGCGCGGCTTTAATGCCATTGAAAGATATGAAACATGCAGATTTTTGACCAGTATGAAATGAACATGGCTGATGGAAATATAACACCTGACGTTCTAACATTTATCTCAAAGAACTACACAGAACCATAGAGATGGTATATTTGGTGAAGAGTTTAGAAAGAAAGTTAGAGGGAGAGCGAAGGAAGAGAACCTATTGTACATGACCTTGCAAACGAAAGTTTACAAAATGTCATAAAAACTTACTTTGCAGACAATGAAATGAGAAGGGATGAATATTTAAGAAAACTCAAATGGACAGTACCAAATGAAATGTTAGTATTGAAAAACATGTTCCTTGACAAAATAAAACCAACTACAGAAATAAACGACGCAAGACTGAAAGATTGGGTAAAAGCTTTCCCATTCACAAAAGATATTTGGTAACATGGAAAGAAAACCAGAATGGCTACAAAAACATATATTTGGAAACGAGCTTATTCCATATGGACAAGCTCTGTTTGAAGAGCTTGAACCAGAAACTCAGGAAAGAGTCATGCAAACAATACGCGAAGACTCAAATACAGACTATGACAAACTCTTTCTAGGATATAGGTTACCTGAGATGGGCGACCAGAGCCAAAAGGCAAAAAGGACATGGGAAATTTGCAACATACTAGATGAACATAATGCAAAGATGCAACAACTTCAAGCAGAGGGCAATGAAGGAAAAAGAAGAGTTAAAAACTCAGTCAGGAAGAAAGTAAAGCTTGGTCGGAGTGGGTTCTATTATGACATATAAATCCAACTATTCTATATTTTTACTCATATGAAATGTACGCCGCTCAGAATATAACGCCAACAGTTTTGGATGCCATGAATGGAAATGTTTCCGAATGGTATAACGAATGCGACAATGCCATTAGAAGGTCAGAAATAGTTCCTGGAACTTACGAATATACAACTGCTGTTTCTTATGGAAACGTAGGTGAGTTTGGAGAAGGTTCTTCAACAACAGTAGATATTGCTTGCGACAGGTTTCATATAATTTCTATTGACAACTCTTTCTTATACGTGGAACAAGACATTGAAATAAAACCTTCTGCCAAGTTGTCTGACAAGAAAGGTTGCAATGGAATTTTCTATGTCGGATACCAATATGCTCCAGAAGTTTTCATGGGATATAAGATATATTCTAACTCTGACTTAGTTCAAACAGTAACATGGGCAAACTATGAATGGTTCGCTTTGAGAAACTCAGTACAACCACAAGCTAGAGAACAAACAGACCAGTATGCAACTATTGAGAAAATAAGAAGACTTGACCCTAACGTTCCAGGAGTTTATGTTGACCTTTCTGGACAAACTGCAGCAGCAGTAACCAAAGTAAAACTGAAACTTAGAGTTCCTTTGTCATCTTTCCTCATCTTCAGGTTTTTAAGATACTTGCCAAACTGGGCAGGAAAAATTTCTATCGAACTTACTCCAAGCAAAAATAACTTAGTCATTGCACCAACACAAGACCCATTCACTCTTACAGACGTAAAGGGAGCAAATCAAACGTCATTCGCCGAATTTTGCAAAGACAAAGTTGACTTAGACTTTGGTTTCTCAAACCTCAACACTGAAGTAAACTACTACTTCAATGCTGCTGGAACTGCTTGGGACCCAGTTAAGTTCACATGCGAAAAGTTTGAATGCAAGAGAATAGAAAGCAGACTTGCAGTCTATATGTTGGACCCAGATATTTCAAATGCTTTAGCTGCCAAATATATTGCAGTTCCACTTATGTTCCCTATACACCAAATATCTGTCAAAGACTTTGCAGGTGAAGTTGGAAACCAAAGTGCTGACCCAGGTGCAAGAACAGATATTGCTTTAACAACTGCAATGAAACATGCAGATACTATGTTTGTACTGTTCAGACGAACTATAAATGACTATTCTTGCTTCTACAACCCTGGTATTAAATACCATATAAACATAGATGGCAAATATTATCCAAGAGAAGAATATTCTACAGTTGAAGATATGAGGTCATACAACTTGACATTAGATGCTATGAACTTTAACAACAACTTCACAACAACCATTAACCCTGAAATGCAAAGTTCTATTATGCCATATGTGAAAGTATGGACTCATACAGGAGGTCAAAAAACTCAATATACAAATGGAGACCGTTCAAACTTTTGGCTTGGCATTCCATTTGCTGACTCAGAAGACTTTATGGGTGGTATTTCAACTGTTGGTACAGTTCAAATACAATATACTGGTGACAGAGACGGTCCAAATGAATTGAAAGCAAAGAAGTTTACAAAACCAATAGCACTTTTCACGGAAGATGCTCTTTTGAAGATTCGTTCGATGAAACCTGCTGGGGCTCCTCAGATTGGCATAACGACAGCTTCCATCGAGCAGATTTTGGCAGCAGGTCAGTAAGTTGTTCTTGAACTGACTTCTCTCCGTCAAATATTGACAGTACGCCAGTTTTGACATAAAATTGTATTATAAACTTTCCTTTAGAAATATCTGTAAGTTTTGTTGTTATATTTTTGTCAACGTCAAGAACTTTCACCATTTCAGTTATACCAACTTTCTTTGCTTTATGAAATATTTTGGTTCAGCAAATACTGCTATTCTATAACATTTACCATTGTTTGTATAAAGAACTATTCTGTCAATGTATTTGTATTGTTTGTGTGTGTAAACTTTGTTCTGCTTCAATTCGAAGAGATACTCGAATACGTCCATCTTTTTATTCTAAGTAAAATGTCATTTCCGAAAAATAGAAGCGTGAGTGTTTCAAAAGGTTTAATGGCGATGGCAGATGTGAAGTTAAATTCACCAACTCAAACAAACAGTCAAAGTGTTGTTGTCAATGTCAAAGAAAGAGATGTTGAAGTGGGGAAACCATACGAAGACCAAGATGGTATAACAATTGTTCCTGTAAAAGAACCAACATATCCTGAAGTTAGCAGAGACTTAAGTTCTGTTGCAGATATTCGAAACGACTACCAACAACTTAAAGACAAACTTCAAACTCAGGAGAAGATTTGTCAAGCTTTAAGTATAATGTTAAACTTGGTCGAACACAACCCTGTAAAAGTGAACTCATATGTCATTGCACCTCATGAAGTTTTGAAAGAACTATTGAAACTTTTGACAGAGGCAGACGATATAAACATCAAAGAAATAGAACCCGACATTAGTTGCTGTGGTGTTTCATATAATGTCATTGACAAGATATACGTTATGAAAGGAGGTGAAACGTTGAACTTAAAGTATAGTTTCCCAGACGTCATAAAAATATTTGACGACCACAACATTTCATTAAAGTTTATTTGCTAAGTAAAATGTCAAAAACTTCTTGAAAGATGTTTGAAGAAAAATAATATAGACTTTATTTCATGTAAAGGACTTTACACACTTTTGAACGATATGAAAGACCCTGTTTTGTTTGTTCGTGTAGACAAAGGAAAGTTCTATGTCTTTACAAAATATTTGAACTTCTTAGACAGAGAACTTCAAGAAACGCCATGTGAAAGTTTAGACGAAGTTCTTCTCCACTTTCAGAAAAACTTTTAAATATATATAAATGGCAGAAGACATAGTGGTTTATACTATTACGACTAAAAACCCTGAGTCATATAATTCTATAACAACAAACTTACAAAGTCCTCAAGGACGATATTGTAAACTAACCTTAAACACAATGACGACTAAAGCCTGTTTTGCTCTTTTGACACCAGAAGACTTTGTTGTTGTGAATGGTAAAAAATACTCCTTTGAAGATACTTACTCAGATATACCACCAACAGGTTTTGTTGACTTATTTAATACTTTAAGGACGGATGTAACATGTGCTGCAACTAGAGCAGGTTTCATTATGTTTGGATGTCCGACTGAGTTTACTATAAACGATATGAGCTATAATACAAAACTTATTTCTGGTTTTTACTACCAACAGTTTCCTATAACAGGAAAAGGTGTCATACAAGGAATGTCTATTCCATTGACATTAAGCACACCAATCTTATATATTGTTTCAAACTTAGGTTCAAAGTGCTATTCGAATGTCGACAGAAACTACTATGACCAAAAGATACTCATGCGTATAAAACAACACTTTCTCTGCTGGTTTGCCTATTGTTCATTCGAATGCAGAGTTTTCAGCTTTAGTAAACTCAAACACTTTAGCAAACATAAACTTAACCTTAGTTGACGCAAACTTTGTTCCTGTAAAACTTTTATGTCCTATGTATTTGTCAATGACGGCAGAAAGTTTCGAATTGGAAGATGCAACTGGTGAAAGTATTGTACTACAAGAACAACTTCAACAACAAATAGCTCAAGAACAACAAATGCAACAAATGGAACAAATGCAACAACAAAGTCAAGAATAAAAAAAATATTTTTTTTTATTTTATAAAAATGTACAGAATAGACGTTTCAGATTTTTATGACTTCCAAGCGTTCAGAAATATGTGTCCATTTAGAGACTATAACAAAGCAGTCGAGAATTTGAAACGTTTAGTCATTTATGTTGACTCTGCCCCAGAATGTTATGTCATGAAAGAATGGGATGTTGTCTTTAACAAACCAAGAGCAACAATAGTTTCAGAACAAGAATGTAGACAGAAACTTAAGAAAATAAAAGTCGTACAGGTTGGCATGAAGATGTTAGATGCTTGGGATATCTTATTGTCAAAGTTAGAAGATTTTTCAGTTCGTGGTATAAAGTTCTATACACCATCTCCAAACTTCTATTCTATCTTCACTGGATATAAATACGAACAAGTAGAATGGAAAGAAAATATTATAGAAGCTTGGTTAGACCATGTCAAAGAAATTATATGCAATGGAAACGAAAGAGTCTATGAGTATATCTTATGTTGGTTTGCAAACATCTTACAATATCCAAGTGCTAAAAATGAAACTGCTCTCATTATAATTGGAAAACAAGGAACTGGTAAGAACACTTTCTTTACAGATATCTTATGCAAACTGTTAGAGGGCTATTCGAACCCTAATATGACAAACTTAGAAAACATCTGCGGTAAATTTAACTCTTCAATAGAGAATATGAAACTTATAGTATGTAACGAACTTCAAAGTATAGATACAACAAAGGTTTTAAACTCGGATGCTTTGAAGAGTCTTATAACAGATAAAGTTGGAGTTGTTGAAAGAAAATATAAAGACCAAAGAGTTTGTGAAAATGTTGCAAAACTTCGTCATGGTTTCAAACAATGTTGTTCCGATGAAGTTAGAAAGTTCTGACAGAAGATATGTAGTTGTCAGAACGTCAGATTCTCATATGCAAGATACAGAATATTTTGACGCTGTCAGAAACTTTGACATCTGACTTTTACAACCACTTGTTCTCATATTTCATGACATTAGATATTTCAAAGTTCAATCCAAGACAAATTCCACATACCGAAGAGAGACAAACATTGTTAGAAGCAAACAAGAGTGTTTATGAACTGTTTATAGATGAGACTAACTTTGAGTGTTTAGATGAAAGGTCATTGTACGATTCATATAAACAATATTGTCAAGAGTATGGTTATATGGCAGCTTCTAAACGTACATTCTTGGCAAATGTCAAAAATCTTTTAGACATACAGAACGGCGTATATACAAAGAAAAATTTTTCTGAGTAAATTTAAAAAAAAATATTTTTTTATCCGATAGAAAAGATGACGAAATATATTTCAGTCAACAAGTACATGACAGAAGTCAAAGAAGAACTAGACCCATTCATATATTTGAATGTTTACTTCTACCATTTTGAAAAGTCTACATTTGACAAAGTTTGGAACATCGAACCAGTTAAGTTTGCTATTGTGACTAAAAATGGTGCGAAATTTGAAGACTTAGACATAGAAGGTTTGTTAGCAGTCAAAGAAAATTTTGACAGAAAGTTCTCAAACCTTAAAGAAGGCAAAGCATACAAACTTGTTATACCTTATGAACCAAAGAAAGCAGACGACTATGAATATTATGAGTCTAAGATAGTTGAAGTTCAAGGTAAATTGGGTAAAAAGATTTTAGAGTCTAAGCCAGTGTTTGCTCCTAAAGAGGAAGAGAACATTGACATTGACCCAGAAATGTTCTAAAAATAAAATTTTATTTTTACATGTCAAATTTCTTTTTCTCTGGAACTGGCTCTGGTTCTTTCTTCTCTTCTTCTACTTTCTTTTCTTCTACTTTCTTTTCTTTCTTTTCTCTCTTCTTCTTCTTTTCTGGTGGAGTTATGTCAAATTTGGCGCAACCATATTTATGTAAAAGTTCTTTGTCCTTTAATAGCTCTTCTATTCTGTTTTCTATTTCATCTTCAAGAACAGCGCATGTGTCTTCTTTGCATTCTAAGAACTTTTGTTGGACTTCATCTTTCCAATCGGCGTCATCTCTGTCAACAAGTCTGTCATTGACAAATTTTAAGACTGCTCTTTGTAATGTTTTATGGTTCTTGTCATATTCCCAGAAACAGAACTTTAGAACAAATTCACCTTTCTTGTTTACACTATGTAAGATTTTATGGTCGACAGAAGTTTTAGAGTCAAAAAGTTTGTCTCGAATATAGATAGCGAAATCGCTAGACATTTTCTAAAAGATAAAAATTTTAATTTTTCTAAAAATATGTTAGAAAAAAAGTTTGCTGACATTGACAAGAAATTTGAGAATGTTTTAAACAAGAACAAGAGGAAGTTAGAAAATGCTCAGATAAAACCTATACATGACAAGTTCTTATTTGCTCAGAATGGTATAACAGGTCTAATTGCACCACCTGGGTCGGGTAAGACTTTCACTTATCTTAAAATGGCTGCACAACAACAAGAACTAGATGAGAAGAACCCATTCTATGAGTTAGTAGTCATTTGTAGTACTTCTGGTCAATTTGACCAAACCGTCAATTCGTTCAAAGATATTATAAAGAAGTCTAAGTTAGTATGTATAAAGGATACTGAGTTGTTAGATTGGATAAAGAAGTACCAAAGAAGAGTTTTGAAGTATAATGCTATAAATGAGTATATAAATTCTAAGTTTAAAGACCCAAATGAGGAAATGCAGAGAATATTAGAGAAGAAACACTTCAGAAACAAACAGAAAGAGATAGAATACATTTCGAAGAAATTGCAATCTTACGATTGGAAGACTTACCCTCATAGATGTCTTCTTATTTTAGATGACTTTGCTTCTCATCCTTTGTTAAAGAACAGAGAACAAGATATGTGTCGAATTCTTAAGAAGCTCAGACACTTTAACATCTCAGTTGTCATTTGTGTACAGACAGCAAAGAGTTTAAGTAAGGATGTTAAAAGAATACTTACTGACATCATACTTTTCCCTGGATTGTCCGAAGACGATTTCATGGAACTTATGAAAGAGTCCATGGCAGGTAAGTTTGACAGACATGAACTATGGGAGAAGTACAAAGTCATACAAGACCCTCATACTTCTTTCAGAATTCATATCTACGCAAACAAAGTTCAAATTGTAAAAAGTCAATAAAAATAAATGGTTCATTTACTCTGCTTGTTTGAAGTTGTCAAAATACTCTGTTATTTTTCACGATTTTCATACGGAATTCAATAAAAATATATTTTAGGGTAGATGGGTATATCTACCCCGTTTTCTACCCTCATTTCTACCCCATATGTCCTTACTGAAAAAGTACGTGTTCCATATGTCATTTTACTCAGAATTTTACTCAGAATTCAGCAAAAATATATTTTAGGGTAGATGGGTATATCTAACCCGATATCTAACCTCATTTCTACCCCAGTTATTTTATAAGCGTTTTACATGGTAAACATTGTGAATTCGTGAAATTCTAAACAATTTCGTAGCTTCTATTTCTTCTGTCAGTACATCGAATGTTTTAACAATGCCGAAGGTTTCTTTATACTTCTTCTTGACATCTGAAAGAAGGAAATCGTCAGCTGTTGGATAGTTTTTGTTTAGAAATGTCAACATGTCCATTTTATCTTCTGCTGGTTTCTCTGCCTCCCTCTTTAAGTCAGCATAGTCGTTTCTCATACGTTCTATCTCTTTGACGGAGTAGTTATATTTCCTCATTGCTGCTTTACATTTTGAACATTGTGGGTTCATTTTAGCATTGTACATTGAAATCTTACCTGCTAGTATGACTAAGGCGTCAATTGCTCTCTTTAACTCAAAAGTTGCGGGTTTTATCTGTTCATTCCATATCTTACCTCTTCTATCTTTATCTCTTATCTGCCATACACATTTTGCAACTAACGAAACAAAGTTGTCGTAGGTCTTAAACTCCCCAGATTTGTATATGTCAGAGATGTTCTTATATACCATATCGCAATCTTTGTCCATGACTTTGTGGTTGCAATGAAATCCAAGAAACTCATAGTTAACCTTTCGTATGAACTTCTTTATTTCTACTGAGTCAGTTGCTTTGACTTCTATTTCATCGAATTCTGGAATAGTAAGCTTTTGTTGCTGGATTTCAGGCAATTTGGGTAAATGGTCGATGAGGTCCTGCATGTCATAAAGATACTGTTCATTTGTTTCATCTTTCGCACAACAGTCCAAAGTACTTGTTAAAAGTTCTTGCTTTATCTTCTGGATTTTTGTTTCGAAAGTATATGAAGAAGGAATGAAGCTTTTCATCTCTACTAACATTGAAGTTGGGTTCATGACTAACGAGTTTGGTGCTGTTGTTGCTAACATGTTCTTACAATAAAAATAAAAAAATATTTTTTTAAAAAAACCAACTTTATTTTTTATTTCGGGAAAACTCATGACAAATTCAAGAGGGTAGAAAAGAGGTTAGAAAAGAGGTTATATCTAACCTTCTACCCTAAATTATATTTTTGCTGAATTCATGAGTTTTGGTTGAAAGAATACGGTGGAGCCAAAAGTGGCTCGACCTCAAAACAAGCATTTTCTGTATAAAATTCATGAAAATTCAAGAGGGTAGAAAAGAGGTTAGAAAAGAGGTTAGATATACCCATCTACCCTAAAATATATTTTTGCTGAATTCAGCAACAAAATTCAAATTGTAAACGGTTTAATAGAAAAAGTGTTATTTTTTCATGTCCGAAGACTCGAAGGTGCAACACTTCCAAAATACCGACGAACTCAGAAGAGCAGCATGGCAGTATGTTCTTGACAACTTCTTTGAGTTCTCCAGGTACACCTTGGAAAATGCTGAAGAACTCCGACACAGAGAATTTGGAGAAATTGCACTCCAATACTACCTTGACAAACAAAGGGTAAACAAAGGGTAAAATAAGACTAAAAACTTAACGTTTAAAAAGTGACATTTTTATGAGCTCCGAGTCACCGAGAAAACTTGGTCAGATGTTAGCAGCTTACTTCCCTGAGGAGGATGGAAGCGTTACATACGTAAGGTTCAAAAACAACGAACCTGGAATTGCGTACCAAATTCGCAATTACATGACCATGGAAGAGTACGAAAGGTTCCTACAAGAGAAACCAGCTCTAAACAACTCAGAAAAGAAAGAGTAAAAAGTTTAATTCGTAATTGTTTATTTTTTTACTTGTATGGGCAAGCTGCAAGAATGAAGTCGACTATCTCAGTCTTTGTCTTGACCAGTTGGACTGCTCTTGCGAGTACGTCTGTTTTGCGGTCTCCAGCTGGTGTTTGACCTTCGTAATTGCGCATGTTCTTGAGAGCTCCAACTGTAAATGGCTGTAAGATGAAGAGTCTCTCAGACTGCTTGAGGTAGTCTTCACGGTCACGAACCGAATCTGTGGTACGAGTCGAATTGGTCGACCTTAGGGAAGAGACTGAAAGCCTGTCATCTTCCATAGGGGCTGTGGCATACTCTTTGCGTAAACGGTTCAGACCTTCTTCGAACTCTTGGTCTCTCTTCGATTGGGATTGAGATTGGAATTGGGGTGGAGGGTTTGACATGAACATCCAAGGGTTAGGGAAGTAAGGCATGGGTTGAGGAGGGTAGTTTGGAAAGCCTTGTGGTGGGTAGTTTGGAAAGCCTTGTGGTGGGTAGTAACCTTGAGGTGGAAATTGGTAGTAATTCGGAGGGACTTGCTGGAACTGAGGTTGCTGAGGAGACTGTTGTGGTGCTGGAGCATGCTGTTCTTCTGGCTGTGGAACGGGTTCAGTAGGTGGGACGTCGGACATTCGTTTGTGGCTTAACCGTCTTTGTTCTGAAACAATATAATATTGTCTTGAAAAAGTACAACATTGTCTTGAAAAAGTACAACATTGTCTTGAAAAAGTACAACATTGTTCTGAAAAAGTACAACATTGTCTTGAAAAAGTACAACATTGTTCTGAAAAAGTACAACATTGTTCTGAAAAAGTACAGCTGTACTCAAATTTGAGAGACATTGTTCTGAAAAAGTACAACATTGTCTTGAAAAAGTACAACATTGTCTTGAAAAAGTACAACATTGTCTTGAAAAAGTACAACATTGTCTTGAAAAAGTACAACATTGTCTTGAAAAAGTACAACATTGTACTGACTCAGTATGGAGCTTGACCCCTTAGACGAAGCAATTTATCTAATTGAGGTAAATGAAACCGTGAAGGAATATCTCAGCAAGTGCAAACCAAGCAAGTCCATTGGCTTCTGGTTGTCCAAGAATAGTGTCTTAAAGTTGGAAATTGAAACAGGTGTTGCAATTCAAGTTCCAGAAGGCACTGCATTCGATGATATTAAGGATGTGAAGAAAGAAGCCCTCTTGAAGTTCTTCATGAAACGTCCTTGGATACTACTTCCATATCGTGAGAGCCCAATTCCACGAATTACACAAATTCTCAGAGCACTACTTCACTACTCTGGACAGCCGTTCTTCATAACCTCAGAAGGCGACATCCAACCAATTCTTCAGCCAGTTCAGTAAACATCTCATTTTAACTTCACTTTTTTTATGTTTTTACTCACACTCGTACTCACCAGGTATGAGTACAACTATTTCAACTGTGAACCTTGTATTGACAGGTCTTCCTGCAAATGCAAGTTCGGTCAATACACAATTTATGGTGGCAAGAAGGACAGTGGGGAATGTTATTCTGACATCTGTTGTTGCGCTCGAGAGAGAATTGAAATTCCAGAGCCACCTCCCCCAAGAACTCCAACAAGAACTCCAACAAGAACTCCAACAAGAACTCCAACAAGAACTCCAACAAGAACTCCAACAAGAACTCCAACAAGAACTCTCAAGTTGCCGAAGACTCATGTGAAGAAGAAGCCTTCTGGTAAGTTTCTTATAGCCATCTATATGGCACGCTTTGAGTAAAAACATTTTTTTTTCTTTTTTGAATGAAGCAAGTTAAATTCGTCCCACACCAAACTCAATGGACCGATGAAGAGTTTCAAGCTATGGTTGAAGGTGTTGAGAACGACATAGACGGCGAACTTGAAGGAGCTCAAACCACAATTGCAACCAAAATTGCACAAGTCAAGGAACAGATAGCTCCACTTAAAGCTACCAAAGCTACTCTTGACCTCATGGATACTTACCGTTTAGAAGTAAAGAGTGGAATAAGACAATTAAAATTAAAACTCTTAAATTACGAAGCTATACTCCAGAAGTTAGCAGAGATGAGAAGACTTTACCAGAGCTACTTACATGTAAGGGACTTACCTTCAAGCAGTCCGACCAAAGATGAATTTTCTGACATTGTCCCAATTTTGTCCGAAAGTCAGCTCAGATGTTTTGAACTGCTCCCAACATATCCAGAATATGAACGTTTGCCTGAACTCTTCCGCAATCTCAAAAAACGTTTTTTGGTTCTCATGTTCGAAACTTTTATCGAAGAGACAACAAACGTTCAGAAGAAAGAACAAGATATTATTTAAACTTGTTGTATGACTTAACCGTCATAACAAGCTTTTTGAAGTAAAACCGTCATTCTCAAACCACTTCATTTTTTCGATGTCCGAACAAGCACCGAAGCCGAACACAATGGCAGATGTCCTTTCAATGTTGCCAGACAAGCGCCCAGTTCAAATTCAAATTTTGAATTTGAAAGCTCATCTGACAAACACCGAAGACTCTCCAAAGTAGTCTTATGACAGAGATGACCAATCTCAAAACCGATGTCCTCATGAACCAAGCTTCCAATGAGAAAACGCCTGAACGATTTCACGGAAACCTTGCACATTTACGCGAGAGAGAACGAGACCTTGCCAGACTCATCTACCGTTTCTTCGAAGAGATAGACGCCATCTGGAAGGTACTCGAAAGGACAGAACCTCCAACACCGTAATTCGTGAACACAGATTGAAGAAGGAATTGTCGAGAAGAAGAGGAAGAAGAGGAAGAAGATGAAGAAGAGAAACACGAAGAAGAGGAATTGGGCAACCCTTGTTGCCGATGACACTTACGAAATTTCCCAACCCTACCCATACAAAATCCGCAACAAGGAGACAGGCAAGGTTCTTACCCCAGTCCTCAACAACTTGGGACACTTGAACCTTAACCTTCGGAATCGCGGTTCAATCTCCATGGGCAAGCTTGTCGCAATTCAATGGGTTCCAAATCCAGACAAGAAGACGAGGGTCAGACACATTGACGGTGACAAGCTCAACAACCGTAAGGAGAACCTCGAGTGGTTCTAAGAGTAAAAAAATTTTATTTTAGGGGGAAACCCCGAGTAAATTTAGGTGTTTAGTATTAAGTGGGTTAAATTAAGGTAATTTGGACAATTAGTTCCCGACCTCTGAATTGGACTCTTTCGTCATCCCAGTTGCGTAGGAGGTCGTCCCAGAGGAGTTGGTAGAATTGCCAATCCAAGGACGATTTGTCCTCCCAGGCATTGAGGATGTACTGCTCGTAGAGTTCATGACCTCTGCCTTGCACCAGACACCCTCTCCCTTGGAACGTAAGGCTTCTTCGAAGTGCTCGAATGCGATTGGCTGCGGGACCATCTGAAATGACACTTTTTGTCCGTTTGGTCAATGTTCGTGTCTCGTGCCATAGTCGACGAAAATACAAACAAACAGGTTATATATGAGTTTGAGACCAAGAATGGTGTAACTCGACCTGTCCGATTCAAATTCGAATAAAAATTTTTTATTTCATGCAATGTTTTATTTCTGTGCCGTCTTCAAGTATGCCCCAGTACTTACGCTTGGAGAGGACATGAACTTCGGTGAAAATTTTGTCCAATTTGAATTGACCCATCTTTTCACCGACCATTCCCATTTCAATGAGTTTGTTATAGCCTTCTTCGTTCGTCATGAGTGCGTCAATGTTCTCATAGTAAACCTTCACTTTGGATTTGACTTCGGAGAAGAATTTGTTGTAGTTGTCAAGGACTGCCTTTGCGAACTGAGGGTAAGACCAATGTTCGACAATAGGTTTTAATGTGGTTACTAAGCCACTTTGACCTTGAGTGAATTCGTACTTCAAAACAAAAGGAGAAACCTTTCAACAAAGTTGTCGACCTTCTCATAATGTTTACTCTTCATCTCTTGAGGTTTCTTAATGGAATATCCCCATGTCGAATTCATAAGCAATTTGAGTGTCATTGCAAGTTTGGGGTTTGAAGCTTTCCTAATATCATACAGTTGTTGTATGACTTTTCCAACTGTATAGTTCCTTCCTGGGAACTCACCATCTTCGTTTGGAATTCCAGTCGGGATATATTGGACGAACCTCATGTACGCAGCGTTAAGGTCGACATAGTATATCTTTTCATCTGAGTCGAACTTGTCGCAACCAATGGGTCCAGTTCGTGGAAATTCAAGTGAGTCTCTTATCTTCTGAGAAACTTCGCCTGCTATCTCATAAACATCGTCGAAGCAACCTGTTTCATATAAAACCTTCTGACCTAACTCAGATGCTCTCCAATACAATTTGACGTCAATTGGATGTCTCAATGGAAGTTTGTTTATAGCATCTTGAAGTTCTTGCAACCTCATTGGAAGTTCTTCTGGTTCAGGTTGGTATCCGAACAATCCAACTCCTTTTGGAACTGTGTACTTCTTTTGTGCTAGAACTTTGTCTGGAACAACTTTTGGTCTTGCTAACAATGAAAAGTTTGTTTCGTCTTTTGGTACAAAAGTTTCTGTCAGCTTGTCATCTGGAATTGGTTCCAACAAACCTTTCTCGAAAAGAATGTTTACAGCTCTGACAATGTTGCACTTGCCTTTTCCGAACAATGGGTTTGTAAGACTTTCGTTCAACATGAAGTGGTTGTGGACAATTACAATCTTCAACCATGGTAAGTCTTTGTCAACAACATAGTCGTCATGTGAAGAACCTTTAGCTGTAGGTATGTTGACTCGGATATTGACATTTGCCAACGGTGCAATTTTTGCCAATTGACCTCTGAGAATGTACCTTGTCTTCACACATGACTCAAGATACTTCATCTTCTCTTCTGAAACAAGACCAGAGTTCCTGAGACATGTAAGAATGCAAGGTTCATTGACAATTGTTTCAATTGAATTGTAAATTCCATACCTTGTCAAGTCAATGTCAGACTTATTTATGAACGGGAAGTATCCAGCATGTTGTCTGACTGCTTGAGGGTTAGGTTGGTACCATTCGAACTTGACACTTGCAATTCCTTCAATTGCATTCAAAATGTCTGAGTCGGAGTCAACCATTTGTTCTCTCTTTGTAGTCTTGAAAGCGTCAAGAAGCATTGCAGCTGTTGTGACATTGCCATGTGCATAGTAAATGTGACCGTCCAAATCTGTTACGGTTAGTCTGAGATTGTATCCTTTCTTATTTCCGTCTTGTATGGCAGCAAGTACACCCATGAAGCCTTCTTTGTTCTTTCCTTCGTCAAAGTTTACTGTAAAGGTTCGACCAGATGTAATTTGACTTCTAACTTCACGGTACTTTTCATATGCATATCTTGTTCTTTCCATGGGAGCATGTTTGTCTTCACCTTTTCCTTTTTTCCTTCTCAAAGGATGCAATTGTTCGTCATGTTTCCAGTAGAATCTGGCAAAGCCGTCGTGTCCTTCAACTTGAGGTTCACTAACATCGAAAGGCATGTCCATAAGACGTTCTTCTTCTAACCTCTCTAGTCTGTTTGGATAATTTGCGCGTGCTGTTTCTAAGTCCATCTCGTAGCGAAGACCAGACAGTTTGTCATAGACTTTTATTGGCTTTCCCTTCCTATATTTAAACTTCTTCGAAACTTTCCAACCATATCTTTCTAACTCTGCTTTTATTCTAGCAGATTTTCTATCCATTCTATATGGGGGCATTTTTATAAAAATAAAAAAATATTTTTTTCTTTACTTTACATAACCACCGGCTGCCATAAGTCTTTGACGCCAACCCATACCAGCTAATGAAGGTTGACTTAAACTTTGGTTTTGGTTTATCTTCAGTTTTTGGTTTTTCTTCTTCTATCGGTTTTTCGTCACTTTTCGGTTCCTCTGACTTTACCTCACTTGCAGGTATGGTTGTGTCGTCAACATCTTCATAAATATCATATGCCATTTGTTTTTGTTTTCCTTTCAACTTTTTGTGTTTGTTGTAAAGTTTAGAATATTTCGACTCTAAGTCAATGAGATGTTCTATAATGAACTGTTGGTCAGTGAAGTAAACTTTTCCATCTGTTGTCTCGAAAGCTCCTTCAGACTTCAATATTTTATTTGTGAGAGTCTGTTTCTTTTTTGAGATACTAGCCGTTCCATTTCTATGAAAAGTGACTTTATAGTTAGGGTTTGTATTTCCAGACCTGGCACTTTCTATTATTGAATTTTTCTCTTCATCTGTAAGTTCTTTGACAGGTTTTGACAATGGTTCTGAACTTTTTGTTTGTGGTGTCAAATCTACCGTTTCAACTTCTTCGGTCATTTCATCTCAGTAAAAAATTTTAGTTTGGTTTGTTTTCAACTGGTTGTTTAGGTTTTTTAAGTCGGTCTAAAACTTCCTGAGGTATAGGAAGAACTTGACAAACACGTGGTTGTGTAACTGCTGGAAGTCGACAAATCCATCTTGAACCCATTTGTCTCAATGCTGTATTGTTCATTTCATCTCAGTAAAAAATTTACATTCCCCACGTTTGAGGCGGTTGCGGTTGGTTGTTGTTTACCCACTGTTGTGCATGGTTATATCCTCTGTTAAAGAATCTTTCACCTTGGTCCATATAGTGTCCTGCTTGGTTATAGTAGTCATTTGCTTTGTTATAGTAGTTTCCTGCTTGTCTTCCTACATTGTCCATCCATCCTTGAACTTTTCCTCTTGTTTCAGGATTTGGAATAAGATTTGCTGCATCTCGTGCTACTCCCAACCTTTCTGTACAGTTTGTATAATAGGTTGTGCTTTCTCTTTAAGTATACCTAATGTACTCAAAATCTTCCTTCCAATTCCAAATGCACCTCTGGCTATTGTTCCCACTGCGGGCAAAAATCTGGATGCAACTCCTGCTAATGCGCCAAATAAACCCATTTCTTAGGGTAAAAAATGACGAATCCAAACAAGGACCCCTATGTTTCTAAGCAACAAAGAAAGCACTCATGATAAAAATCTTTAGTTCAACACCAAATGCTTGGTTTATGGATATCTTGGAAAACATTCCGAGGTATAGAGAAGATGGACCACCATACTGGCTAATATTTGTCGGTCAAAACACAAGATACTGTGAAGCCATACCATTACAGTCCAAAAATATTTTAGATGTGAAAACTGCTTTGACAATATTCGTTGACAAATACCATCCAACAAAACTGACATCTGACTGTGAAAGTTCTTTCAAATCAGACGATATTAAAAACTATCTGCGTTCAAAAAATGTAAACCAATATTTCATTGTCGACCAAAACCATTCTGCTCTTGGTGTCATTGACAGTTGTATAAAAATCTTAAGAGACTTAAACCAACCACAAGGTGGTGAGGTAGATGAAATGTCATATGACGACAAATATAGACACTTCTCCATGGCAAAGATGAGACAAGTTTTAAATATTTACAATAGCCGTAAACAAAAAGGTTTGGGAAACCACTCCCCGAAGAAATGAAAAACAACCCGACTTAGAGAAAGACTATATATTTAATAGTTTAGTCAAAAGAGACAAACAAGAAAGAATGCCAGGCTTCAAACTTAAGAAAGGTGACAAAGTAAAAATAGAAATACCTAAACGCGACCCATATGAAAATACTATTGACTATGACAACAATGGGAACTCGACAGGTACTCGCATTCGTGTTCGTAAAAATAGAAGAAAGTATACAAGAGAATATTATGAAGTTTTAGGCAAACATGGCAAAATGTACAGACTGCAAGCAGAAGATAAAACTACTATTGTCAGACCTCGTTTCAAACTTGTCAAAGTTCAAGGTGGTATACTTTCAAAGACAGTTCCTAACAAATATAAGACAACTCCTGACGAATATGCTAAAGAAGTTGAAAATGACGACTAAGCATTTCTATACCATGCGTAAACTGTCATGTAAGGTGGCATGTAGTCTTTACTTTGTCCCGTTGTTTGCGTATATCCTGAAACGCGATGTGTATGGCTTCCTCCTCCCTGAGTGTCACCCAGTAACAATTTATAGCAAACTTAACGTCGTCTTTAACATCATATCCTTTACCTTTTGTCATTCCTGCCAATCCCAATATCTATGCTTATGCCAACCTGCTTCAGCTGTAGTTAAATTTATGTAGTGACTGTGTGCAGGTAAGTTTTCACCTGAAATCGTTTTACTTCCACCTGTTTCCTTTGAAGAGTTTGCACAATACAAAAACCTGTCGACTATTTGAGTCCAAGTTCCAAAACCAAGTACTACTTCTGGTCTGGTAGAGTTCATTGACGTATAAATAGAACCTATAGGATATACTGTTTGAAGTATTTCTGTCTTTAATGTTTGAAGCTCTGTTTTGTCTGCTTTTTTATATAACTTTTCTTCAAGTTCATTTACGTCAGAGATGCTATGTCTATGATATTTTTGTGGGTATGTTCCTTCTGTCCATGCGAAAATACGTTCTTTTGTTGCATCTACATATCCTTTTATCCATGTCGAGTCTGCTTTTGTATTCCTTAACTCTGTAACACCTTTCTCAAGCTCTTTCAACTGTTGTCCATCTTCCATTAAACCTCTGGTATGACTTGAAACCGTTTGTGTCAACATATCTACAGTTTCTTTGTCGGCTTTAAGGTCTAAACATCCTGAAACCCACCCTGTATTGGCTTTACCTTCTAAAATCTTCGATGTCCGTTCATGGTACCATTCAACCCTTTTTATAATTTCATTGTCTTTTTCATCCACATATTCCTTATCTGCCTTCTTCACTAACCCACTAGCCAGATATGCTAACTCATCGTCAACATACTCTTTGTCAGCTTTCTTTTCAACATCCTCTTTTGTTGCATATGTTGCATCTGCTCTGTCATGTTCTTCTTGAACTTTTTCAATGACATACTCTTTGTCAGCTTTGTTGTCAATATCTGCTTTCAAAAGAAGTTCATCTATAGGTTTCTCGTTTAAAGTTCTTTTTGTTGGATTTATACAGACAGTATGGTTCTTATTGTCTTGAAACAGAAACTCGTCTGTCATTGGGTTTATCGTCAGTTTTAAGTTTCCTTCTTTCAATGACTCAGATATCTTAGAATAGTTTGAAAAGTTTGTTGTGTTCTTATTTAGAGCTTGCATAATGAGTTGTCGGTTGTGTTGTATTTCTCTCATAGACGCTGTTTCATTTGACATTTTTATTCTAGATAAAATATGCTTTCAATAGAAAAAGAAAATTCAAGAGTTGCTACAACTAAACCATTAGATGAACTTTTTACGAATGTCGGTCAAAAGTTTGAGACAGAGACCGTAAAGCATGAAGGCTATCGTTTTGACTACCCATTAAGATGGCTAAGAGACCCATCTGTCACAAAAGCTATTGGCTTTCGTAGAATGAAGTTTGTGTCTGTAGAAGATAAAAGTTTTCCATTTATTGTAAGGTTTCATATAGATTATATATCTGAAGGGAAACGAAAAATGTGGGAAGAAATTGAGCTAATACAAGTTGACCTTTCATCTTCTCTACAGACTGCGTTAAAAAATATAGAAGATAAAATAAATTCATGTTATGCAAAATATGCTGATGAATATGCAAATACCGAGAGCACACTTTATGTGAGAATTGTATATGACAAACAAAATTCACAAGTGTCATTTCAAATCTACGAAGACAATCCAAAGAAAGACGAACAAATATATACAGAATTCACTGCAATGTCATGGTATTATTTGCAAAGAATGTTAAATCAGAAAGTCGAACTTCCTTTAGCAAATATTTACAGTCGATATGCAAGAGATGAACCATATTTATTTAAAGATGTTTTCGACCCAGCTGCTATTATAGTTCATGCTTCATTTTCTGGCGCCCAAAACTCTTTTTTATGCTTGGCAAATGACTTTTACGAAAAACCTACAAAGCTATATGAACCACCAAGTGGAAGTATTTCAGACTTTCAAGTATGGTTTACAACAGATGGAAGAAAGAGAATAATTCCATTATACCATGCGTTTTACTTAGAACTTAGTTTCATATACAACTACTATCGAACGGTAAAAATATAATTTTTTAATACGGTTGAGGTGTTGGATTTGGTTGCCAACTAGACTGTGGTGCAGGTTCAGGCTGTTGTATAACAGGAGCTTGTTCTTCTGGTTCAGGGTCTTTAGGTATAATACCAACGAACTGACCTACTCTTTTACCAATATTTTTGACACCGTTCCAAATTCCTCTTCCGACGGTTTTTATTCCATTCCATATACCTCTTCCAACATTTCGAAAGAAGTTTCCTATCTTACTGAAGAAACCCATTTTACTATATGTAAAAATCTAATGTCCGCCTAGTCTCTTACGTTTCCTGTTGAGTTCCATAGCATTCTTTAACTGGAGCTCATACATTCTGTTTCTCCTCTGGTAGAAAACATATTCTGGGTCAACTCCTGTGTTCGCGTCATCTGCATAAAGTTGTTTATATCCCACTTCAGGGTTTGTATAAAACTCTTTCCATCTCATATTTGCATACCATGGTGGTAAGCCTAACGCAGCGTCATTTGACATGGCAGTTTGCATTTGTACATCTGTTGGCACTTGACCATAGTTTGCCATTGCAGTTTGTATTCTAACTTCATTTGGAATATTCTCTGGGTTTGGTTGTCCAGGTTGCTGTGCATTCGCTAAGTTCTGTGCGTCCATTTAATATTAGATAAAAATATCTCTTACGAGTACATATACTGGACATTTGCAGGCATTGGTTCATCTTCATATTCTCTATATCTTTCTGCCACGTCAAATAAGTAAATGACACAATGGAAAAAACCTAAAACAAGTAGTCCTATTTCAAACCACATTTACTTACTAATAAAATTTCTTTGTTATGACACTTTCTCCAGTTTATAGGACCTCTCTCATATTCTATCTTGTCATATATAAACTCATAGTCATGTATGTCCTCTAACCATCTCATAACGGTTTCCAAACCACTTTTATCGGATGTAAAGTAAAAGCATGGATGGTTATGTAAAACGTCTAAAGTTTCTAAAGAGTCTCTCAAAGTCCAGTCTACTTGGTATTGAAAATCCCATGTGTTATAGAACGGCGGGTCCACTATAAAGAAAACATTTTCCTTGTCTTTATATTTTTCATACAAATCTGTCCAATGACATCTCACAAACTCTATACCCTCAATATATTTTTCTATGTCCTCTTTGAAAACATTTGTATAGTTAAGATATAAAACTTTTGACATAAGTGTTTCAATGTCATGAACTCTTATAGCACCACTATATAATAGTCTAGCAGATATACTATCCCAGTCTATATATTCTGCTTTTTTCAAAACCTCTCTCACAATATCTTTCTTATCTAATGGTATACGTTCCATCTTACCTATAGGTATCTTTTCTTTTAACTCTTTCAATATTTTGTTAGTGTCTGGAATATGTTTGAGACGGTTCATATAGTTGTCGAAGTCATTGCATATAATCTTTGAGTCAGGAAATACAGTATGGCACAAATGGGATATATAGAAACTTCCACCGAACAAATCTACAAATGTTAGACCATTCGGTAGTTTCTTAAGTTCTCTCAATAGAATATCTTTACATCTACTCTTATTTCCAAAGAAGGGTAACGGTGGTTTTGTGAAATTCATTTTATATTTAATAAAAATGTTTTTACCCCAAAAAGTGACAGAAAAGTGACAAAATATGTACGAAGAAGTCTTGAAAATTCAAGAGGGTAGAAAAGAGGTTAGAAAAGAGGTTATATCTAACCTTCTACCCTAAACATTATTTTTGTCTGATTTTACGAAGAAGTCTTGACAAAACATGAAAACATATATATTTTGTGAAAAGCTCCTGGAAGACCCGTATATAAGAACTTCATTTATACTAAACATCTTCAGGGGCTAGAAGGGGCGCAGCCCCTGGAAGCCCCACTCCCTTTTTTTTTTTTTTTTTTTTGACATAACAATGATAATGCTATACATGTATTCTTACTAAGGTGTTGATAGATGGTTGATCGTGAATCATCAGTTCCGATTTTTGAAAAGGAAATTTATCAAAAAAAATCTCAAATTCCTTCAATAGTCAATTGAAATCATAAATCCTTAAACAATAAATGAATAGTGATCAATTCAATTTTTGAGAACTATCGGTTTTAGAATTTTAAAACAAAAATGACGGTTAAAGATAATTTTTTTATCTCACATCACTTATTTTTTAGAAATATATTGTAAAAACATAAATACAGAAATATTAATCAGGAAATTTGAAATCAAAAGGAGAAATTCGATTATTTTCCCTTCAAATTTCAATTTTCCATGAAATTGAATTCAATCATCATAACTATAAGAGGCATATGAAAATTTTATGAAATTTCACTTGAACTTGATTTAAAAACGATGATCGATCACTTCACTTAAATGTCTGTTGTCATCAACCTCCCAGATGCTCCACCACCAATTGGCCCATACTGCCTCGCCCGCCTTTGTGGCAACACACTTTACACATCAGGCAATGTAGCTCAGTCTGCTGATGGCACAGTTCCAAAGACAATCGGAGAGCAGACAACCCTTTCTCTTCAGAACATGGAAAAGGTCATCAAGGCTGCAGGCATGGACAAGACAAACGTTGTCAAGTGCAACTGCTACCTCGCCAACATGGATGACTTCGCTGAAATGAACAAGGCCTACTCTGCCTTCTTCGGCGATCACAAGCCATGCCGCTGCTGCGTCCAGGCTGGCAAGCTCTGCGACCCATTCCTCTTTGAGGTTGAGTGCATCTGCTACAAGGCTTAAACATTACGTTATCTTCAATTATATTTTATATATGTTTTTTCTATGAGTATTATATATAATGTACAATGTTTTGAGTTGTTGAATTTATATTAAATAAATTTTCCATTTATTATTTTAAATTTTATTCTGCCTTTTCATAGATTTAAGATATAATAGTTATTGTGATGTGTCTTCAATTAGTTATTTTAAAAACGATAAGGGTAGTATAAAATATATTTTACAAATACAAACATAAACCGGATAATTAACTTAGCCAAACGGAAAGCGCTAGTCCGAAAACACAAATAGGTGGATAAATACTCGGTACATCAATTTCAAGTGTTGATTTGCATACGCGACGAACCATAATGTATGGAATTGAATCATCTTGATTCACTAGAATACAATTCTTGATACTTGGAATAATCTCGCGGTTCAAAAAAGAAAGTTCCCATCGACCAGTATTTGAAAGTTTAGGCTTTAAAGATACTAGTTTACGGGGTACGAATTCAACTTTTTCGAACATATTAACGACTGTTTCTCTTGGTGTAGATTTTGATTCTTGACGAAATTCTACAGTCATTATTTCACTGCCAAATTCTTCATCTTTGCGTAGAGAAAATAATTGATTTGAATCTGTAACTAATAAATAAGCCGCAAATTGTTTCTGTGAAAAATGCATATCACTGCCTGAACTAATTGGTACCGATGATGTTGGTCTTCGAGATTTTGTTTTTGTATGGAATAATGGATCGCCGTCGTAAGAGAGCTGAAAATGAAATCTTTTTCCTTTCCAGCCAATTTCATCAGTCTGTGTAAATCTGTATGTTATAAATCGTGAGTACATGTTAGATCTAATTTTTGAAGTATCAATGGGAGGAAAAAATCTTGGATCACGTTTTTCATTAATATTAAATTCTTTAGAGGTCGTTTTATTTTCGCAGTTACCTCCATCACCTGACATGTGATCAAATACAAGTCCAGATGAGTTCTCCGATGTATCATCAGATGTCATTGAAAACGTATTTTTGAGGAATGTAAAGAAAAATTCTAAACCCCTATCGAGGGAAAGATTGAAAGACTTAACCAAGAACAGACTATTGGTACTAAATAGACCCCAATCTGTGCATGTTGAACATAGAGATTCGATTTTATATCAGTTTTTCAAGAATGATATCACGACTCAATTTAAAAATTGAATATTAGATGGACAGAATAACTTCTCTTTCTTTTTCTTTGAAAATCATTACTTTAATTCACTCAAAATCTAAAGAAAATCGAGTTCAATATTAAAGTAAATGAAATTTCGAGCAGAAATGTGAAAAAATGTTTTTTAACAGGCTACTTATTGCAAATAGAAACAACAAGTTTTCCCAAAAAATATTTCAAAAATCAATTTATTTTATCAAATTTACAGAATTTTTCTTCAAAATTAGAAATTTAAATATTTCTTGGAAAAATGAGATATGTAAAATGAATTTATAATGAGATTTCTATAATTTTTACACATAAAACATTAAGAAATTGATTGAAATTTGAAATTTTGATTTAATTTCCTAATATTTAACAGAGATTATATATTATTTTGTACTGCCATTGGCTCAAAAAGAAAGAACAAATGCTATATAAAAATGACAGAAACTATTTCTAAATTATTTATTATAAAAGAAAATATCTATAGAATATAGAAACTCTATTGAGGAACATATGGCTTAAGGAATGTCTTCTCAGCGATCTGACCGAAACCTGTTGCAATAAGAACAGAAATTGTTTCAGTAAGAGCTGTAATATTTGTTCCGAGTTCACTCTCCTTCTGCGTAAGGTTCTTATCTTTCAATATCATGTTGAATGTGTTTGCATAGCTCAATCCGCCCATTGCGCCAACTAAAAATACAAATAAGAATTCTGACCAGGTCGTCATCCAGTGGAGCATTGCTTGCGATAGCCAGATGCAAAAGTTAAACATCTGGAACAAAGCCATGTACGTAAGATGTGGAAATTCGAAGAAAGTAAGAGTCGAAGCGAAAAGTAAAACTGCGACGTGCTGGACGAGAAGTAAGAGTGGAAAGAAGTATTTGTGAGTCTTTTGGAACTCTTGTGTATGAGCGCAATCGTAAAATGCAGAGGCAATAACATATTGAGCAAAATAAACAGTATCACAAGTAATTATATAGTAAATGATCTTACGAAGATAAGACCAAGACCAAACCTTAACCTTTTCATCTGGATGAGTTGGTTCAGTTTCTTGCTGAGATAATAAAGCGGTTGAATTTAATTGCTCATTTCCTTTCTTCTTTTCTCTAAGTATAAAGAAGTATGAGCAAAAGTAGATGGCAACTAATGGAAGTAATGATAAAAATGAATATTTGTAATCGAATTTGAATGAAATAACGAGAATTGAGAATAAACTTCCTAATATACCAGCAGTTCCAGTTCCAATTCCCCAGAATTTCATTAGCGAAGATTTATTTATATATGCCAAGTATCCCAGAGTTACGGATTCGCCAAAATTACATGAAAACCCGACGAAGAGGATGGAAATTAAGCATGTCCAAAACTTTGGAGCATATGCACATCCAATGAGACCAATTGCCATTAAAGAAGCATTTGTGAAGAATCTAAAATCGTATGTGAAGTTTAATGCTGAGAATAAGGTATTGACAGATCCAGCAAAGAGTCCGCAAAATGTGCAAGCCATGTCGACAGCAGGTACAGCTCCTTTTTCATTATAATGTTCAACGATTCTTTGAGCACTTGACATAACGATTAAGAAAAACAGGTTGTTAACTGTACCTACAAATGTCATTGCAACCTTTTCTAGGCATGTTGCCGGCCTATCTTGGGTTTCCATATTTATAAAAAAGTGACAGATCATCTTGGTAAAAAAGACATCAATCATAAATGGATTTTTACATTCGAAACATTCATGATTAGCAAAAATTCATATAGATTTGATACAGACAATGAAAATTAATATTAATTTTTGAATTCCAACGTCCAAAAAATGGTTTAGATAATATGGGTTAACATAAATATTTACACATAACTATGTGGTATAATATCCTTCATTGGAATGAAACAATCTGGATAAAAATGTGGAGATTCAATTCCAGAACATAGTGAACTTTCATCTCACCAATAAGGATAGTACATTGGATTCTTCTGGTAAATGCTGTCTTCTGAAAAGAACTTTAACTTCTCCTGGACAATCTTCTTTTTGTGCCAACAAATCAAATAAGGAAAATCTATAAAATTGATATAAGGACAGTAACGATTGTGCATTATAGTTATTGATGCTTGGCTTATATCACCATACATTGATACCACAAAGTGACTTATTCCATTGAAAAATATACAAATCTCTGATTGAATCCTAGTTCCATACAATAATTTAACGATATTCATGATATGCAATTGCCATTATCATTTTATTTGATTAAAATCTGGAGGCGCCAAATTTTGGCGCCTTCCTCTCAATTCTGGCGCCAAAAATTTTTAAACTGAAATGAACAATATCTGGGAACATGCCTTCCTTTTAAAGCAACAGCCAAGTGGGAAGGTTTGTGTTGAACAGATGCAATCAAATTCAATCATAGAGCTTGGCCTCAACGATTTAATTTTCCAGATATTCATCAATAATCAAGCAATGTACCATATTGACAGGATTTTTGCTATAACTTCAGACCCTTACGTTTTACATGTTTGGAATTTCCACTTCCACAACGAAAATTACGCTATTGTAATTTCGACACTTACGTCATTTCATTCACTCTTTATCAATTTGCTGAAGAATATGCAAGACTACTTTGGAAATGTTGACAAAAATCAAGATGCTACATGTCGCTTTAACATAATTATGTCATTTATTTCATCTTGGCTTATTAACGAGAACAATCAAGTATCTGCTCTCGGCATCAATGGTCCTGGCATATATTCAGCATCAGACATTGGATTTTCTTCATTTGAGCCATCTTTATACTTTAATAGTAAGACTGATTACGTCTCCTTATGGAAATCAGTAATTCTTAACAATCGAATTCTAATTATCTCAGAAAATGTCGAGGACATTGCCCCGGCGGTCTTTTCTGTCATTGGCCTGTCTTCACCGTTTGAATACAAAGGGAAATATCTAATCACAACAAACCAATACGATAAACGTATATCAAATAACAGATTGAACTACTCTATTGTTGGTGTAGTTGGCAAAAACATCAAAACTGCCGAATTTCAGAAATATTTTAGTAATATAATCAAAGTAGAACCAAACTCTGGAAAACTTAACGATACAATCATAGTTCATAAAAAGATGAAGCTTTTATATGATGAAATTTGCGTTATATCAGATAGAAACCTCGAAAATGATCCATATTATGAATTATTGAACAAAAGGATCATAACTCCAGATTTGGATGCAATCATATGCGATAAAATGAAACAGAAAACTCTTACTGTACCAGAGCTAATGACTCTTGAGACAACAGAAACCTTCCAATATTGGCTACATCAAAGAATTTACCGTAGCAACCTTAGGAATTCATTTTTAAGCGTTATTCCAAGCGAAACAGTTAATTCATTATCAGATGATGACTTGGATAAGGCTTATGGCCATATAATAGCTCTCAGAAAACTTTTTCAGAATGATTTCCATTTTCAACATGTTTTGAGGAAACACAAAACACTCATTGCTAGAAGAATAGGTATGAATAATGTCCACTCATACTCTTCTGACTCAAGCTTAAGCTCTTCATTATAACATATTTGATTTTTTTGTGGGGTCTTGGTTTATTGTTGTATTGTTAATAAATGTGTTTGTTTATAGCTAATTGATTATTGTTACTTCTTCAAATGTATATGAACTGCATATAAATTTAATCTCTATTGGAAAGAGATTATATAAGAGGCAGATTACTGAGTAGTAATACTTTCATAGAACACTCTGGCATCTTCCCTTTCCTAATCCATATTAAAATTTAGAACTGTAGAGTTCCGGTATTTTACTTTTTTTTTAGAATTTGAAAATGCAAAAGAATTCTGATTTATTTGGATCTTCCAAAATCCTAGACAGTCTTGGGTTTCCTGTAAGCAATGCTTTTCCTTCATATGATGATGAGAATTCAGCTAAAATCAAATAAATTTTAGTATTTTCAAATACTGGTAAGTTTGTATCAATAAAACCAGAAAATTGTGAAATGGCTAAAAGAGGGGAATGCGTGTTACCAAATATTTCATCTATCGCACAAATTGATAATAAAAATTTTTCAATAATTGCTGAAGAATCAGAAGTTAATATAGTTACATCAGAAGATTCAGAGTTTAAAATCGATAAAATACCTGTCACCAATACAAAATCAGTACATTTAACTAAAGAAAATCAAATTTTGTTAATTAATAACAAATTATCTACGAAAATCTACAAAAATCAGACTGACATTGCTAACTTGTTTGATGAGCAACCTCAATCCGAGTACATTTCATCTATTCTCGTTGACGAAACCCTTTATATTTTTTCGGACAAAATTTTCTCAGGAAAAGTACAAGAAAACTCTACAATTTCGACTTACACACCAAAAAATTACACAGCTTCAAAGGTAATTCATTACCAAAATGATTCTTTTTTGGTAATCTCAAAAGATAAAAAGAAAGTACTTTTATTGTCAACCAAAGACTCAGAAATGACAGTTACAGAAGAACTACAGTCAACAACAGACATAATTGACGTTTTAATCTTTGATACAGATAAAATCTGTTGTATTTCAGAACACAACATCATACTACACAAGATAGGCGAGTCCAAGTCATTTAGAAACACAATTAATCCGAAATATACAATAAATTGTTCGAATTATCTTCCGAATAAGAATCTTTTAATATTTGGAACGAAAGAAGGTTCAATCATCATTGTCAAATCAATCTATCAAGAAGACAACACGTTTTCTGATTCTGAAATCTCTTATTTGTATAATTTCCATGAATGTCCTGTTGTTAACGTATTTCCACTTACAAACGATAGAATTTTATCGATCGGCCAAAATGGAACATTAGTTCTTTGGGAAAATGTTGTTCCATGGTGGAATGTGCCAAATACTGTTTCTTTGTTATTAAATACCAAATGATACCATCATAAGTAATATGTAGTTGTACCTTAACATTATTTGTTTCATCATTTTCTTTTAATCAAAGATAATTTTTGATTATTTTAGGTATCTGATCAAATTAACTACATTTAACTTAATGCCTTATTTAAGAGAAATATAATTTGCTTTTTAACTTGTTTGAAAGAATAAATTGCCTTAGATAATTTTAATATTTTTTTCTTCTTCCCTTTCAATGCACTTAAAAGAACTTTAGAGCAATAAACATACATGTTTAACATAGAATAATATCTACAGCTCACCAAAATACGTGTTAAAGGTACGACAATCCTGATGAAAAAATGATAGAATTACTATAAATGGTGCAAAAAGCTGTAAATATTTAGGAATGACAAATGGAAAAATTGTGTGTCCATATGTATGCAATCTGATATAGATTGAATAATGAGATTTTAGTTATAATATGATTGCATATAAAAATAACTTTACAAATAATTTCCCTATGTTATAGATATCAAAATTCTTTTAAAATCTCAAATATTCACGAATATCTTATAAAAATGAGCCATTATGATTGCAATACTAGTCCACAACATTATACTCCAATAGCATATAATATATGCTAGATCAAATATATCTGAATTTACTATCAAGCAGCATAAACGCATATAAAACACATCAAAAAAGATGTAAATTATGCTGAGAAAGCTTATTCTGTTAGTATGAGTCTAAAAATAGATTTTGCATTAGTAAATAAATTTAATTACCACTAATTAAATTCACTAATTCCCACTTTAATATTGATTTCAATTAAAAGTTGAAGAAACAGTCTTCAATAAAGAACAATATAGTTCCCTAGTCCAAACGTATAATATCCACATATCAGAAGTCCAAATCAGATCAATAGCAATTTTCTGAAAACGATGTAAATGTTTTTTTGAAATGTTTACAAAAAACAAGGAAAAAAAAATTTGAAAAAAATGAGGTCCCGTGGAAGTGGAAATTGGAATCCCAATTCTCCATATTCTCCACCACGAAGCGGAAATCATTCACCTGTTCGAGATTTGTTTCGTGCTTCAAGTATTTATTCACCAAATGGAAATTCAGTTCATTCAGAGTACCGAACAACGAAAAAACAATCAATTAAAGAAAAATATACACTTCCAGATGAAATAATACATCGTAGCAAATACAAACCAGTGTTAAATAAGTCTCCAGTTTCATCTCCCTCAAAAGGCTCTCCAATTAAATCAAGAGATTCACCATACAAACAACAACAGTCACCAAAACTCGTTGTTAGCCTGACTGAACGCTTAAAACAAAATGGTGTAATTAACGATACAAGATCATCACCAAACAAGCGTTCTGAGCATATGGATCCAATAGAACGAATTAGAAAATTACTTGAGGAGATTGCTTCTGACTCTGATTCTGATAATGTTGAAGATATCATCGATTCAATTCATGCTGTTGCGGATGGAAGGATGCCAAAGAGCTCCTGTAAGTATTTCAGCAATATTGATTTACCACAGACTCAATATATTCCACCAAAACCTAAAATCGAAAATATACAAAAAGAAACTCCTCCAAATAACACTCCTAAGTCTGTTCAACAATCCCCTGCTACCACTAAGAAGTATCCTCCTAAGAAACCACTTAATAATGTGATAATTTTGGGAGATTCCGAAGATGAAATTCCAGATGTAGTCAAAAGAGATATAGAAGACACATTAGATGTTAGCCCTATCAAGAAGAGCACTACTACACAAGAAAAGCAAGCAGAAACAGTTGAAAAACCACAACAAAAAGCTCCATCACCAAAACAACCACATGTAAGTCCAAAATTCAATGTTGGCGAGGATCTTTACAACCAGGTCTCATCATCGTTGAAAGAAGATGACGTGAAATCAGTTAATAGTCAGAAATCTGGAAAATTAAGTCCAGGAAAACGACTTTATGCCCTATCGACAGGTCAGCCCATCGAAGAAGAAGAGCTGCCTCCTGTTCCTCTCGACAACGTTGTTTCTTTCGATAATGTTGAGAAACCACAAGATTCTCACAAAGATGCCATCGAAGAGATCCTAAATCTCGACTCAGTGCAAGATCTTGAGTCAGAAAGGGAAATTCGACAGAGAATTAATAAGATTATGAAAGAAAATGGAGATCCAACGGTAGAAGAAGAAGACGAAGAGGAAGAACTCCATAGTCAGATACAATCTCCATCACCTGAAGAGGAAGAGTACGTTTCCAGCCCTCCTGCTCCAAAATTTGAAAAATCATCTCAAATTAAACCAAAAGTTGAATACAATTCTGCGGAGGAAATCAAAGGGGATCTCGAAATAAACGACATGATCGAGATCAAAAGCCAAACAGAGGAAGAATCGGAATTGGATAACGATGATCTCCTTGAATACGCGGACAACATCATCCACAAAGTGAATCCTGATAAAGTAGAAGTCGAGAAAGAGAAGATTCCAGAGGAAGATGAAGTAGAAAACAACGATGACTCCGATGCTATTAATTTTGTCAATGGATACATCGTCAATGCACCAACAGTCGATGATCCAACAGTTGGTGGCAAGTTTGTCGACGAAGACGAAGCCAACAACGACGACGACAAAGATTTCGAAAATATTCTCCAAAAAATCAAAGGAAAACAAGAAACAACAGAAGGAAATGACGAAACAAACACACCTAAAGAAGATCTACCAGGGAATGTCCCACCAAAACAAGAAAAAGAAGTCAAATTTGAAGTTCCAATCAAACTTGACAGCAAAGCATATAATAACGAAAACAATCCAACAAATGATCAGGAAGAAGACATAACACGTTCAAAGGATGAGTTTGTTAACGATGTCATTAAGTCAATTTCGCAAAAAGTTGAAGAAGTCATCAAAGAAGATGATGAACTTGCCGAAACCGAACAGAAACAAGATGAAGAAGGAATATACGTATTAAATGACAAAGAAAACGAACCATTTGATGAAAAAATAAGTGACGCACAAATAAAAGACGAAATCAAATACGCTCAAGAAGATTCAATCGAAGAAATGAACGAAGAAGAAGAAATCAAAACAACTGGTAAAAGTGGAGAAAATGTTCAACAAAACATTGAAAACAAAGAAGAAATAAAAGAAAATATTGAATCAACAGATAATAATAATAAAGAAGAAAACAACAAACATCAAAATGAAGAAGAAACAAAAGAAGATTTCGGAAATAAAGAAGAAGTTATTGATCATGAAGAAAAAGTAGAAACTATTGATGGCCAATCTCCTAAAGAAGAAGTTCCTAAGGAGGAAACTATAAATGATCAAACACTTAAAGAAGAAGAAGTCCTTGATCAAGAAGAAAAAGAAGAGGTATCGAATCAAATTCAAGGAAAAGAAGAAGAAATCAAAGAAGAAGTTATTGATAATGAAACATCCAATCAAATTAATGAAGAAAAAGTAGAAGTTGAAGAAAACAAAGAAGAATTTCCCAAAGAAGAAGAAAAAGTAGAAACTATTGATGATCAAACACTTAAAGAAAACAAAGAAGAAGTTATTGATCAAACTAAAGAAGAAAAGGAAGAAATTCCTCATCAAGAAGAAAAAGTAGAAACTATTGATGGTCAATCTCCTAAAGAAGAAGAAGAAGTTATTGATCAAATTCATGAAGAAAAATTAGAAGTTGTAGAAAAGGAAGAAGAACTTCCTAAACAAGAAGAAAAAGAAGAGGTATCGAATCAAACTCAAGAAAACAAAGAAGAAGTTATTGATAAAATTAAAGAAGAAAAGGAAGAAGTTGAAGAAAAAGAAGAAACTATAAATGGGCAAACACCAAAAGAAGAGGAATTATCTAATCAAATTGAAGAAAACAAAGAAAATGTAAATGAAACAGAAGAAACACAATTGAATGAAGAGCAAAATGGAGAAGTCGAAGAAATTCCTTCTGAAGATGATATTTAGTGACTAATAATTATCATAATTATTTATTCTTGTTATTTTCTTTATTATTCTATTAAAAATGTTAGTTTTTTTGCATTCTTATTGATTTGTTATAACACTCAACAACAACAACAGATCCATTTAACATAATTTCTCTTCATTTTGGATCAAATTTCAGCTTCAAAATGGAAGGGAGTAGCAAATAATGTTGCAAAAATGTGGGGTATGATAAACAAATTCATGAGGGGACGGCTGCTCGACTTCTAACAGTGGTAATCCCACATCTTGATCATAGTTTCAAAAGATCAGCATTCTGGATAGATATAATGAAGAATGTTTTTGCTTATCTCCGCTATTTGTAAATTTACACATTTACTGCATCCTTATAAAAAATTTCTATATAAACCCCAGTTTCTAAACTACTGTTCAGATTATGAAACATGGTTTACAATCTATCACCCTATTCAGAAACGAAATATTTTTTTTTAGTTTTTTATATTTTGATTGGTTCAGGATAATTCCCTTTTGATATTAGCTAATATCTCTCCCTTAGCAGATAATAAAGTTGTGTTTAAGGGAAAGAAGATTCCAGAGGAAGAAGAAGTAAGAATCAACTATAATCCCCGCAATTTTGAATTTTCTCAACCGTTACAAGATTAATAAACTAGTTGCTGATAGTTCACCAAGTTGCCAACAGGTACTAGCACTGCAATCAAGATAATTTTCCAAAAGTTATTGAAATAATCAATAAAATGAAGAAACAGCTGAAAACGAAGAGAATCAAACAGTAACTCATGTCGACAAAGAATGTACCGAAGGAAATTACCCATTAATTACCATATAAAGCGATTTTTTTGAAGATAATACATCTAATCTAGTTTTCAAAGTTGAAAAAAATCAAATTTTACAAGATGATTCAACAGAAGAACAAGGGAACCAATCGGAGAGTCAGAGATTTCAGATGAATGCCTAGAAAAAAGAAAAAAGAGCCAGTGGCGGGACTCGAACCCGCAACCCCAAGATTAAGAGTCTTATGCTCTATCCGGTTGAGCTACACAGGCTTTACATTTAAGAAATAAAATTTTAGAATGAAATAAGAAATCTTTTCCAATTCAATCTCCTTTCAATTTTTTTGAAGTTTGACGGATTTAATCTAATTATCCAGAAAATATGAGGTCAGATGAATGCTCAGCTACATTATTACAATATTCTATAGATAAATAGTTAATTCTAGAACCAAGTTTATCATAGAAATGATTATATGAGTTGATACAATTCTTTATCTGTTCCTAACAATTTTCGTTCCAGTCTATAGATCATTTTCTGCTTCACACAGCTAAAAACATCACAAAGTCATTCATAGGTTTGAATTTTTAAGGGAGTATTTAGGCCTAAATGACATAGTTTTCAATTCTGTTGATTAAGGTTAATTTTCAATTATGATTCACGCCCGTTTTTAAAAATTTGAAATAAAGTCAGATGGGTGTGAGTGCACCCTTAATTATTAATATGATCGCTAATTTTTCTCCGTCCTTTACTTCGATAGTTTCTATTTTTGATAATACCAACAATACCATTAATATCTTCTTTTAAGTAAGGCGAAATATTTTCTCCAAGACATGATATCAACTCTTCAGAACTCATTGGTTGAATATATGATAAAATCCACATCTCTTTATCTAAAGCTATAAAATTTGGAGACTCATCCTCTAAATATGCCTTTTCATCCCTCCATAATAATAGTTCTTCTAGAATCTTTAGACCATTGCTATTGAGATTTCCAAATTTTGAGCATAAATGAACTACAAGCTCCCTTGCCATTTCTTTTGTGAATTTTTGATGCATAAATTCTTCTTTTTCATGAACATTCATTTTGTTAATTATATTTAAATCTATTTTTGATTTAATTGTAATTTTAGGGAGGACATTAACTCTTCTAACAGCAATATTAATTAATTCATCTGTAAAAGGTCTTATTCTCCAATCAACAACACATAATCCATCAAATTCTTGCTTAAAAATGTGTTCTAAACTTTGAGTATTAACTAATGACAAATCTACATACGGATATACATAAATCCCTAATGATTCATGCATTATTTTGAATAATTCTTTGTCAAAAAAGATTTTAATAATTTCTTTGTTATATAATAATTCACTTAAAATGCCAGTACAACATCTTAATTTAAGTAAGTCAATAATAAAAATCCCAACATATGGACTATACAGTACTATCAGACATGGAAATGGTATATAAGTTCTAACTCTATGTATTTCAATTGAAATAAATAATGTGGTCATACTTTTTAACTTGAAAATAACACGTTTTAAATCTTCCTCTTTATCAATGAATTGATATGAAAAATCTGATTTAAATGAACAAAGAGTGAGAAAATCAGGAGTGAAAGTTATTTGAGGAAACTGTGGAACTTCTGAATAAGTTGAATTATACTTAAGAGGTTTTGCAATCGATTTTGAATAATAAAATATCCTTCCATTAATTTCTTCTTCAATGATATCATTATCTTTCGATTCATTTAAACTCAAAACATTTTGTTTCTCGTTAATGAATGAGCTATCCAATAGTTTCGTGATTGCTAATTCGCATCTATTTTCGATAATGTTTTTATTAATGTCATCATTAATAGGATCTATAAAATCAACAGTTAATTGCGTGATATAGATGACTTGAGCTTGAATTGAATTTAATTTTTCCATTATGCTGTCATCTAATGTCTCAATGCTATAATCAGTTCCAACTGGAAGTTTGTTTGCAGTTTCAGTCAAATCTTTTAGAGCAGTGATCAAATCATCTACATCAATCATGAGAGTAATACTTCAATAATGAAAATGAAAAAGTATTGTTAAGAATCATGATTTTAGACTAATTAGCTATATAATTGTGGATGATAACTTATCTGGTTTAATAGATTAGATGATAATTTGAACAAAATATCTTAAGAATTCCACACCAATACGAAATATTCGTGTTTTTGCCCCAATCATGACAAAATGTAGCACTCCCAAAGGTAAAAACAATAAGAGAATATAATTTTCCGTTTTCAAAAAAATTCAACTAATATGGGAAAGGAAAACGCATCAAAGAGGATCGCTGAACAAATTGAAAAAATTAAAACCGACACAACAGCAGAAACAGACAAATTAAGAAGTCTTCAAAAGGAAGCCATTAAAACTCTTAAATACGAAATTGCAGCTGATATTGCAAAGAAAATCGAAGAAATCAACAAACATGCTTCAGAAAATAAGTTTGCAATCATAAGAAACGAGTTTATTGATGAACTTGTAACAAGTTTGGAAAATAAAAATCAAGAATCAGAAGATATTGAAGCACAAAAGCGTTATGACGAATTAAATATCAAAATAAAATACGACAGACTATTTCAAGATCTCAAAAAACAACAAATTGTCAGTTTATATCAATTTGAACAGCAATTCCTTAAAGATAGAGATACAGAATTTAATAGACGCGATCCAGAACAAATTGAGTTACGTGAATCTTCAATCCGCGCAGCAGAAAATGGAGATTTTGAAACTGCTATGAAGTTAAGAGATGAAGCTGTTGCTCTTGGTATTTCTAAAATGGAGAAAAAGACAGAGCAACTAAATCAGCAATTTGAAACAAAAAGGAAAGAGCTTTTAACTAAATTTGGAAATGAAATTTTAGGTTTGACCAGACAATTAAATAATGAACAGGCAGAATACACTAAGAGATACACTGACAAACTCAGTGATATGAAATCTACAAGAGAAAATAGCTTAAGTGCTCTAACTCAACAATATATGAAATTTGCCAGTAAATTTTTACAAGATGAAGCTGCAGTCAGAGGAGCAAACAAATTACAGGAGTTATATATCAATTTCTGCAGAGAAAATAACTTGAAGCCTGCTCAATTCCATGTTGAGCAAAATCTCACAACAAAAAAGAAACTTGGAAAGACAACAAAGTAATTTTATTGTTATTTTTTTTTATTTTGTCTTATACAAATAAAAATGTTTATATAATTATAGTGGGAGCCGATTCCAGCTATGGTCCACCAAGAGATTATGGCATTTTTGCATTTTGGCTGGATAAGTTTTATTGTATTATGATTCTGTATTGTAATCAGGTTATATACTTTCATTAAAATTTCTCCAATGTTTTCAATTTTTTTCGATCAAGTGTGATTTAGAACAAATAAGTTGGAGGTTTTGTTGCACATTGTTTATGTAGAATACATTAATCAAATTGGAGTTTCCTTCAACATACCATTAGCATTTGTTGAGGAGTGCACTAACAGGGTCATTGAATAAACAAAAATTTCGATTTGAAAATCAAACTTCATTTCAATAGATGATTGTGAAATAGAGGATATATTCACTTCATAATCACAAAAATTTAAAAAAGGACAAACAATGCATTTAGAATTCAAAGGTAATCGGGCTTGATTTATCAGTATTAAATGGTATATCATTTGCTATTTTGGTGTTGAATTTCGAAGTATCTTTATGTCGATACTTTCCATTAAACTATTGATCTTTGTTAAAAAAATTATAGATAAATCGTTTATTAAAATAATTTTTTATATTTTCCCTTTTAAAATATCTCTGATCCACAAATGTTCGTAATCATCACCATAAAGACAAATGCATAGGTCCGGCTCAAGTCCAATATAATGGGTTCCAAAATCAGGGGCCCATGCATCTCTGATAGCAATTGACAATCTATGTACAGTTTCAAGATTATAAGGTACCCATTCACGTGTTTCTGGATCTCTTAGCAAAAATTCTTTTCGTTTAGCTTTATCAACATCTTCTTGGACACGCCTTAGTTCATCTTCAGACAAAATTCCTTTATGCTGTGGTATGAAAACATGCTTCATATATGTTTTGAAAGCTTGATAGTATATGTTTGTTCCAGCTCTGAATTGATATTGTTTTGCTTTCCAAAGTGTTTTTGTGAACAATCCAGGAATTGTGTCTTCAAATGAGAGAGTTAAATGATTAAGTATAAAATACTCATGCTTTTTTCTGATTTTGTTCTTCTTTTTTAAATGAAGGGGGCATTCAATCATGACATCTTCAAAAGATGCATATGATAATTTAAGTTCGGTATTTTTACCTAATAATAATGGATCAATTTTATACATACATCTTATTACAAATTGCTCGAATAAACCCAAATCTTCCCATATCTCGTTAGGATCATGATTCATTAAAATTTTTGATCAAATTTTATCGTCATCTAAATTCTTTTTACAATATCATTGATCTAAAACAAACAATAACATATATTTATTCTGATCTTTAAAATTATTATCTGATAATCCTTAAAGTATTATAACATTTTTTGAAAAATTAAAGTTAAAAAGTGTCAGTACCTTTCAAAAATATTCTGACAATAAGGATGCACTGAAGACGATAAGTCATCCTCAGAAATGTACATTGCGATACAATTAAAGTTAATCAATTAAGACACCATTAATTAATGAGAATATTGAAGATTTTGGTTGTAAAAGTAATTGTTTTAGTATTTCTGTCTAAAAAACAAACAAACAAAATAATTAAGGGTCCACTGTAAAAATTGAAAGTCTCTCAAAATTGAGAGGCGATTTGCAAATAATCGTTATCGTCTTTTTTCGAAAATCCACTTTTCCTAGTGTTCTGATTAATATTTTGTGCATGTAACAATAAAGTATATGTTTTAGTAAGATGATAATACATTCTATCACTTCAAATCACATAAAAATTGCAAAATCAGCGAGTTTTATAAGAACATGATTTTTTCGAATTTTTTTCGCTTCTGGATGCGTGTTTTGAAAAATAGATATTTTCGAATTTTGATTTTAATTTAAGTATAAATTTTATATTAGGGATTTTTTTGACCTATTTCCAATCATTAATTCCTAAGTTTTTCTAGGAATTTAATTGAGAAGAAATTAGGAAATTCGCTTTAATGCCATTACATCCTAATATTGTGATGCATGTAGTTTATATTTATTGAGGCTAATGCCGGAATATCGTGCATTTTATAAAAAATTCAAAGAATTGACAATTGGATAGCACAAATTTAATTCTCTAGACAAAGTATTATTGTTTATATATTCAAAGCATTATCCTTCGTTTTGAAATGTTGGCCAAAAATTTTCGTGTTATTTTTTGTGTTTCAGCATAAATTATATATTGACTTATGAAAGATAAGCATTTTATTCATTATCATAAAGATATACCAAAACAAATTGATAAAATTTAAAAAAAAGTGTATTTTAGTGGGTATTATTCTGGCCAATGCCCATTTTTAAACGATTTAATATTGACCATATCAATAGCCGACTCAATGTAAAAATTTAGATATTATTTTTTTCATTATTCAAACTTTGATAAATTTTAGTATAATGAATGATTTTGTTTCGTGTATGATACAGAAATGAAAAGCTTGATTAATATCATTTTGCATTTTTTCAAGAATGTTAGAGTACATCTACATTAAAAAATCGGATTCGAATTGCGATACTGCATCAAATTGTTGCACATCTGATAAGGATCTCAAAAGAGTAAAGTTAATTTTTTGTGTTTTTTTAAGTTTTGGGCCTTAGTAAAAACACCATCTTGAGCAATATTTTTGGGACGACGATAGGCCTTATTTGGCCTTACAGTGGACCCTTAAATAAAAAATTAAAGTTCATAAGATATTGCTTCATTGACATATCTCTCGTAATCATCATCAATGTAGTTATAAGAGCTATTACTACACAAATGGATGCACAAAGGCTTTTTCCCGTTTAAATCTCCGAAAAAGTCACAGAAACATGTTTCAATTGGAAGAGTCAAGAACTGTAGTTTATCTTGGACTAAGTTAATCAGTTCATCATCGTATTCAATGAATGAAGATTTGTGCATCATTTCAAAATAAATTTTTCTAAGCAATGAACTGGATTTTTTCTGTTGCCAATTAACAAAATTAACAAATGAAAGTGCAGAACTATGATATGGCCTGAATTTTCTGGCATTTTTCATCTCTTCACTCATGAAGACTTTGTTCGAGACTTTACTAGTATCATTTGAGATATCTGGCATAGCAATGACAGAGTCCTTCAAGTTAAGCTTAAGAAATCTTCCTGCATTTCCTTTCCAAAACAAATTTTGGTTCAAAATCAGAATATTTTCGATGTTTGGCGGCAAAACAATATCCAACAATAAGAATTTGAATATCTGCTGCTGTAAATCATAGTTTTCTGGGACAATATAAGTTGGTGGGAAAATAATTGGAACAAATTCAAAATCAAACTTGTTAGATTTAATTGGTATGTTAGATCCAACGATGTAGAACTTAGTTTTCAGTTGTGTATTCTTCACAAGTGAGTAAATCATTGTCATTAACTGAGAACTTGAGTTAAAATTGTTCGTTGTTGATACATATACGTTCAAAAGTTGGTTATCAGATGGATCAACTTCAAATTGTTCGCCATTATGAATATAATCAAAATTATATTGAGAAAATGAGTCAACTTTAAAGGATTTGCCTTCTAAGCCTCTTACATTATATGCTCCTACTCGTAAATTCGTCATAAAGTATCCTTCTTCCGAAATTCGAAGTAATTTGTTGTTAATTTCAACAAAATTTTGACGAATATTGCATTTTGATATGGATCCAATCGATTTAACAACAACTTTATTCGATTCTCTCTGCACAATAAAGTTATTCGGATACTTCAAAATGAAATTTTCGTTGTCAACATCGATACAATCGGAGTTGAAGTCGAAAAGATGTCTATACTTCATATGCTCCGGAATTTCATTCACCAAACTTGGCGTTAATACAATTCTAACAGAAGTTAAATTATAATTTGAAAGAATTTTAAGCAATTCGAGCCATTGTGATGCTGTTTCATCAAATGGATTCATGTACAGATCTATTTTGAAAGGTCCATTTCCTTTTGTCAAGATTAAATTTTTTGGTATTTTTGGAATTTCGACTTCAGAAATTATCGATCTGGAAATAAGGACTTGTCTCCACATGGTGAGATAAAGCGATATATTGGATTCATAATCATCATTGATCAAATTTGATTTCAAATCGTTGATATAAAAATTAATCAAATTATAATCGATGAAATAGTTAAATATCTGAGCACCAATCAGAACGCAAGTATTATATTCTCTTGATCTAATAAATTTCTTCAAAACTTTTGAAGGATTTTGAATATGATGCAAAATTATTGATAAAGAAGCAGATTCAATGCTTTTAACGTAAGATTCATTAATGTTTCCAAACAGGAACACGTGAACTCTCTGAGTTTCATTCTGATTCATATAAATAATTTCAGATTCTTCTAATTCTTTGAGAATCAACAATTGTTGATCAATACTAAACCTTGATATATCAGTATACACTTTTTCAGAGTTAATGGCCGTTAAATTCAATTTATCAAGAATTATTGATTCATTTTTCATTTGATCATTAAAAATAGTAACATTTTCCAATAGCCCCTTCTTTTGTAAGCTTCTTGTCATCTTTTCATACATCATTGGAACTTTATCAATAGTTTTTGTTATTGAATCAGTAAATATCGGATTTCCATTAACAAACATCATGTTTTCTGTGATGTTATGCTTATTTATGAACGATAATATCTCATTCAATGATGAATATTCACTAGTTGACGGCTCCATGACAAAATTAAGTAAATTCCATGAAATTTCGCAGCCAATTTTCTCATAAGCATCTTTATATCCAATTTCCAGACCATCAAGAAGAAACTGAGTGGCAGTTCTACCTCCGAAATACCTCAAAATCGTCTTAAACGCAAATGCAACTTCAATTTCAGTTAAATTTGAAGCCCTGAATATAGGAAATGTTACTATTGTTAACATTTGTGGTAACTGTAATTCATCCAGGGCTTTTTGAAGAATTTTTTTGGCTAATTTATCAAATAATTTAATAAATAATTGAACAGTTAATAAATTTTTCTTTGTATAAAATATATCTACACCTTGTCTCTTTAAATCAACTTGAAGATCCCATTTTTCAGCGATTTGATTTGCAAAAACGTCTCTAACAACAGCTCCAGCATATAGACTTGGCGTTTCAACGTAAATTGGCTTAGAACTTCCTATTTGCACCTCATGAATTCTTTCTATTTGTTCTTTTGTAAGATTGAACTTTGAAATAACTCTTTGAAACTTAAATTCTTCAATTAATGAATACAAAAAGTCATAAATATGTGTTTTGACTTGCCTTGAGTTAATCTCGAGGATTGCATTATGACGTGGCATTTTTATCGATTGAAATTCTTTTAATAAAGAATTATTAACTGAAGAATTTGCGATTTTCTGACTGTAACTTGGGAAATTTTGTAGTATGTCTAGTAAATAATCGTATTTGTTTGTGGAATCTGAAATATTGGAAAATATATGACTGATTATTTTTGATTTGAGACCAGGAGTGTTTTCACTTGGAATTTTAGTCTTTTCTAGGACCTGAAGACCTTTTAATACCGGATTTCTTTTATTATTTGGATATTTTAAGGAAGTTTTTGGTTGGAAAAGTCTGAATTTAAGACTTATTAAAAGTAAACTATAAAATTCTGGATCCATTTTGAGTTTTAGTTGATCTAATAGTTGATTTTCATCTATTTCATGATTATTAAACAAAGATTGTTCGATATTTTTATAAAACTCTTGATCAATTTCGCGCAAGAACATTCTAATTTCATCTTTTCGACTACAGTCTGCCCAATCGCCGATCATCTGAAGTTTTATTGATGAGGCAAAGATTATCAAAAATATCAACATAAAAAATTGAAAGATTTTATATGGAAAAATCGATTATTCATTTTAAGCATATATAAATAATTAATGTTATAAGGTTGCCAAAAAAATTATCGATACAAAAATTTTTTTTGCTCTGTTTTCCGATCACCCAAATTTCTGAATTTTATAGGGTGTCCAAAGGTGTGTTTAGCACAAACCTGAATACTGCGAATAGAAATAAACAAGTTACATATATATAAAGTTTATTTAAATATAATCACCATTGGATTCAATCACGCGTTCGCAGCGATCGATCCAGGCTTGAAAGACGCGCTTTAAATCATCATGAGAAAATTGCTCAAATTGCTCTCTTACAAAATTTTCAAGATCATCTGGACTCGCGAATTCGCGTCCTTCAGCTCTCTTTTTTAGCGTGCCGAATAAATAAAAGTCAGAGGGTGTAATATCAGGTGAATAAATTGGGTTTGGAACAACTTTGACATTGTTTTCCACCAAGTAATTCATTACCTTATGACTTTTGTGAACTCTTGAATTATCAAAATGAATTGCAAACTTTTGTTTTTGTTGTTTGGATTTCTCAAACTCATCAGAATTGATAATTTGAGTAAGAACATTGTCAATTAGATACTGAGCATTCATCGTATTAGGTTTTTGAAGAATATCAATTGCGATGATGCCATTCACGCCCCAAAAAACCGACAACATCATCATTGGTGTGTCAATTTTTTTCTTCGGGAATGTTTGCGGATTTTCATCCTTCGGGATCCACATGATTTTGGCTTCTGTTGCATATTGAAACCAAGACTCGTCCCCTGTTACTAAAAAGCGAAACTTCTTGGATTGATACGCACCCAATATAGAGAGGAGCTCTTTCGAAGATTGGACTCTAGATTTTTTTGAACTGAATTAAGGTTGTGCGGAACCCAACGTGTATACGCTAGTTTGTAGTTTCAAATAATTGTGCAGATAATAACTGACTGTTGTACGTGGTATCTTTGTCATCTCCTCTATCCTTCTGAGTGATGCTCTTGGTCTTCATCTAGCGCTTGAAGAATTGCTTTGATTTTTCTTTGATCCGGCGATTTTTTGTCAATTTTTATGATGGGCGCCTTTTTGTTCATGAAGTGATACATCCTAACATGATACGTTACAGTGGAATAGCTAGGAGCATCCATACCGAAGCATTTACCAATGTCTCGTAGATTTTTACAGTCTTTGCATTTTTTTGCAAGAGCGAGGAGATGTTTTCTTTATGATTCATTAAAAAAATGAAAAAAATCCCGCCAAAATTTCCCGCGAAACCGCCTCTTGTCTCAAAATTCATTTTATATCCAGGCATGGCGCCAAAATACAACATACTCATCATATACATATATTCATATTTTTTATTATATATTTATAATCAGCATATATCTCCTTTAATAGTCTCATATAGAGCGCTGTGCTAAACGCACCTTTGGACACCCTATATTTTTTTTTTCTAAAAAAAAAGATGATGAACGACCTTCTTTATCTACAACACCCAAATCCTAAACCTCAGTGGGTAGAACATATCGAGAGTATTATACAGCAACTCCTTAGTGTTCAAGGCACAATTATCGTTCATAGATCCAAATTATTTGCTTTAATGGATGATTTCAGAGCTCTTCACAAGAATTTCGATCCAGATATTCATGCTCCACAAGAAAAACTTAAGCAAGCAAGCAGTGAATTAGTCGAAGCAATCAATAAAACAAACCAATTAGCTTATTATTCATCTACCGCGCATTGGAGCCAACCAGCCATTACATGGCCATCTAGTTATATGCGCGACAACATACGCAGAATTAGAGAAGATGTACACGAAAGCTTAATTATTTTTGGCTGTAGAAATTGTCCAAACTTTTTAATTAGCGAGGAACAGTTAAACGCACAGAATGATGTTGATATACTTCAACTCAAAGGCTCTCTTATGGAATATTTAGCGCAAGTTCAAGGGCAACCACAAACCCCACAAATGCAAGGTGTTATTTCACTTATAAACGAGCGATTACGATCCATCGGACCATTGGAAGGCATCCAAGATGGTCCAGCATTAGTTTGTGTCCCTCCATTCTTACCAGCCAAATTAAATTACGTTTTGAGCCACGATGCCTTCACAATAGGCAACACCATTGGCACAGGAACATTCGGATCCGTCCATATCGGTACAATGAACGCTACAAACCGCAAAGTTGCTGTCAAAGTGTTAAATACCCAAATTTTAGGTGGTCGACAACTTGAAACCTTCAAAAGGGAAGTTTGGACAATGGCCACTCTCAACCATCCATCGATTCTACGCCTCGTAGGTGTTACTTTGACCCCGCCTTTCTGTATTGTCACTGAATTATTGAAAGGATCACTTTACGACCGCTTAAAATTCCTTTCTCCGACCAAACGATCGATAATTGCATTGAAAGTTGCCCAAGGAATGGAGCAACTCCACGCCGCGAGGATTATCCACAGAGATCTCAAGAGCGCTAACATTCTTTTAGACGAAGACGACATGCCACGTGTTTGTGACTTCGGATTGGTCGGATTCAAGACAGGAGCAACAAGAACAGGATATGTCGGAACTGCTCAATGGATGGCACCTGAAGTTTTGAGGTCATCTCCCTTTTACGATGAAAAAGTCGATGTTTATTCATTTGGTGTTTTACTGTGGGAGATGCTTACATTGCACGAACCGTATTCCGGCATGAAACAAGAGCAGATTGTCATGGGAGTGATAGAAAGTGGATTAAGACCTCTTATTCCTCAAAATTTCAGTCATTCCAAACTTGTTCAATTAATTGAACGTTGTTGGAGTGAACAACCATCAATGAGACCTCCTTTCTCAACAATAGCAACATTACTGATGCAAGCGGACTTCCACTTCTTCGGAACAAACGAAACAGAGTTCCAAGCAGCGAATCCAAGCACTTTGATATCAATAAATCTCGTTCAGGCGTATGATAGTTGTAACTGGTCGAGATTTGAACAATTATTAAAGTCTGTGACAAGGGAAGAAACTGAATCAGATACACAGTTATTACCTGTTATTATTACTTTGTTTTCTGGTTTGTCTGTTGAATTACAATCCTATTTAGTTTCGAAATTATCAACAATGGTTGATTTCGAAGTTTTCATCGCTCAATCTGGATATAATTTCATTTTGTCGATGTTTAACATGGCTCCTCAAGTTGTTTCTAGTTTAGTAACTGCTCTGAGACAGGTTGACTTGTCATCAAAATGTTTCAGACAAGTAAAACTAATTGGTTGCCTCGCGGACTCTAAAAACTCTGACGTGACACAGTTATGCGCTGATTTGTGTGAATATAACGATATCGCTGATTATATCGTCAAAAATAAATTGCCACTGAAAAATGTCAATGACAAGGAAGTTATATGGCTTTATAATAACTTGTTGATGCACGCGCAACTGGCACCAATCATAGCTCAACAACAGGAACCAATAATGATAGCTGCAGCAAGAATTAATGATTATCCACTCGAAATTTGTTTGATGCTGGAAAGTTTTCCTTTCAATGAGACACATGGAAAGATGGTTCATGATCTACAGTTGATAACTAAGCTCGCTGCTATAAGCGACATGAATTCTAGCGCATTAAAAGTTATTAACGCATTGATCTTGACAATTCCTGCTGAATTCTTGAAAGATGAGAAGAACATAATAGAAAGAGTTGTTAAAAGACACAGAGTGTTGTTCAAAGCATTGGAAATGAAGCTGACAGAAGAATTAAGTATAAAACTTCATCCAATCGATTGGTCGACTATGAATTAGTTATTATATATATTGTATACTATTTGTTTATTTGTTTGTATCATGATAAAATATTATTTTGGTCATATTTCTTTGTATTTTAATGGGATGAGCAAACATCAGGTCAAAATGTCTCAAAACTAATGATAATATAGTTAATTTTTGTATTTAAAAGTTTATTATTGAGAAATATTTTTTATCTATTGACATTTTAAGGCAATTGCTTGAATTAACTACAATGAAAATCATGAAAGATGCAAGTATTAATGATGATATATGTATTTCTGCATGATACTGTAATAATCCTATTCTATGTTTTTGTTATTTCATTATAAAAGATGGATATTTTAGCAAAATGAAGTGAGTATGAATTTTAAAATGATACCGTAGCTTACAATTAATAGTTATTCTTCATAGTTTGTATTTTTGATGGGAAAACCAAAAGCCTTGGTAATTTAGGGATATCACTGAATACAAAATCATATACTAAGGTCAAATAAATGAAATGCTGGACTGAATTTGTTTTCCGATAGATTGATACAAATCGATTGATTTTTTCACTCGAAAAGTGAAAGATTTAGGAAAACTGACAACAATGATATGATCAAAAAGTTTTACTTTATTTAATGTTTGTATTGATGGACGCACAACTTAACCGGAATCCGAGAAAAAAAAATCAATATTAAATCTGATCAGTTTTATAAAATCATAACTTCAATAAAAATAAATAGAAAGGTTCTTAGATAGTAGATATCGAAAATACCGTTGACTGTAAATTACTCGAGAGTCATTTGTGCTTCTGCAGAAGGGTTATTAAGCTTCAATGCAGCGACGCGAGTAGCCGGAGCAGGATCTACCCACTTGCAGTTAGCAATGGATTCTTCTGTTGCATCTGCTGTGAACTGACCGTTTTGATGATAAATCAAATGGACATCACGGAAATCAACATCGGCATAAGCTTCTGGAGATAATTGCTGCTGAGCTTCTTGCTCTGACATATCAACAAAACCATGCCTTGAGAAGTTTCCTTGTTTATGGAATAAGGCGCCATCAACGCATTGAATAGAAAGGAATTTGGCAAATGGGTGCTTGTATACTTTGATAATGCGGTTGTCAACCCAGCATACACCGATGATTTTTGTTAAGCTTGGGAAAACTTGAGTAATACGGAGGCAATTCCAAAGCTTGTGCTCAAAACGGCGTGTTACGGAATTCTTCTTGCTGAAATACGAATCATGAAGTGCTGATACAGAAGTTAATTTATAATTTGCCCATGTGGATTTTGGAATAAATTGAAGTCCAATGGGATCAACGACCTCAGTAGTACAAAGAGCTGCTGCTGAGTCTGAATCACTAAGAAATGTCTGGAGTGCTATTAATTCATTAGCATTTAATTGGGATTGCTTGTCGCCGGATTCCATTACGAAAAGTGTCAAACGCAGTTTTTGGCGCCAAATTTGAGAGACCCTTCATTTCCTTTTAACTTCTCACTTTTCGACATTTTCGACACTTTTCGTTCCCCGCGCTTTCTTCGAACTACTTTTTGGTGGACCAAATTTTTATTGTATAGACGATACTGTTTTTATTCAGCGGTTTTCATTTAAAAATTTCAAATCTACAAAGTTGAAAAATCGTTTTTATTAAAGTTGATATATACTATTAATATATGAAAATTAAATTAAGGAAAAATTAAGAGCATTCAAAATTATGAATTTGAGAATCTGCTCAAAATTATGAATAACATTAAAATGAACAATGATAGATCAAAAATCTATCGATAAATCAAAGATTGAAAATATTTTTTGAAAACAAGAGTTGCAGGGATTTTTGATAAGATCTATCATACAATGGAAATTAATAATATTTCAGTTTTTCGATTCATACAAAATTCAGTTTCTGAATTAAAATTTGAAAAATATGAATAACAAGATAAGCTTATTACATTAGTATAAAAATTTTAGATCAAACCTTGATTAAAAATTAATTGTAATGCAAAATTTACGATTCATAATCCAAAATGTTTCGATTCATTATTTATAGAAGCTATAGTTGAATATTTACACATTCAGCAATTTTATTATATTTTTTATCCAGGAACTGAAAATTTTGAATTACGAATATCATATTTTTATTCTAAAGTAATTTCAATTTTAATTTCGAAATATATTTACATTTAGATACAATATAAAACTGGATTATGAAAAATATAAGACTTTAGCTTTATAAAATAATACAATATATTTATGAACATCAGTTAAATCAAGTTGTACTATATTCATTAATGGAAACTTCAATAAACCAGTTGATATTGTTTCTATTAACAAAATCATTGATATATCAATATTCTTTAATGCCATACAAATTCACCAATAAATACACAATATCTTCGCAATTTGATGATTTTTCAAATGGAAAATGTTGTTTTCGATGTAATTTCAAATACAAATTAAAAAATACTGTGATAAATCAGGAAACATTACTGAACTATTGAACCAAAGTTCTTTTGATAGCAAACAAAAGAGGTAGGGCAATGATAGAAAATTTTTGGAAAAAAAGTTCGGAGATCTTAAACGTATCATATTCCCTGCATGGTTTGGTATCTTCCGCCATGCGTTGTGCTAAACATATTGACACTTTCCAATAATTAATTTATGGTATGAGTCACAGAGTTAGATTATAAAAAGAAAGTAAATAATTGCAATTAGAAATCATATATGTCGGAAATCAAATGTTGATGAGCAGAAACCTTTTACTCATCATAAAAGAGATAAATCACTAAAGATTTGTATACATTAAAATTTGATATTTGGTGCTCGAAAACTGTCTGATGGGACTCCTCCAAAATGAACCAATCTATCGCTGAGGACCAAATATCAAAATTGCAACATCAACTTTGTGCGGTGAAACCCGTCCTTGTTCAAAACGGCTGAAACTGGTCGTGGCAATATCGTCGGGATTTAAGCAGTTCAAGAATTAGAGTTTACTGTTGTATGTTATTCCTTAATATTAAAATTCCTTTTTATCTTTGATCGATAAGTATATATTCTGAACATGCATATAGATCATACTTAGTAGTTAGATCGATAATCTATCATTTATTTATGGTTTCCCATACATTTTGATTTAAAGATTAATAGATTTGATAAATAATTATTAATTAGTAAGGTATCATTGCATTACAATTCAATCTGTATGTTTTTGTTCCATTTTTTTACTCTTAATTTTTCAATGACTTATTATTGCTTTTGAAATTAATCATCATTCATCGTTCTCTTTGAAACCCACAATGACCTTATCAAAACTTAATTTTTAATTCAAAATCTCAAAAGAAAAATCATGAGGATATAATAAAATGTACTAGTTGTTAACTATGATGCTTATATAATAATGAAATGAAATGACCTATCAATATTGCACTTTGCCTGTCAAAAGTTCTTCGCATCTCTTGAGGTGTGAGGAAGTTTCTCGACAGAGGAAACTTTCATATCGAATGTTGCCTCTGTCGAGATGTATGTGACAGGCAAAGTGCAATCACCTATCAATATTGCACTTTGCCTGTCAAAAGTTCTTCGCATCTCTTGAGGTGTGAGGAAGTTTCTCGACAGAGGAAATTTCATATCGAATGTTGCCTCTGTCGAGATGTATGTGACAGGCAAAGTGCAATCACCTATCAATATTGCACTTTGCCTGTCAAAAGTTCTTCGCATCTCTTGAGGTGTGAGGAAGTTTCTCGACAGAGGAAACTTTCATATCGAATGTTGCCTCTGTCGAGATGTATGTGACAGGCAAAGTGCAATCACCTATCAATATTGCACTTTGCCTGTCAAAAGTTCTTCGCATCTCTTGAGGTGTGAGGAAGTTTCTCGACAGAGGAAACTTTCATATCGAATGTTGCCTCTGTCGAGATGTATGTGACAGGCAAAGTGCAATCACCTATCAATATTGCACTTTGCCTGTCAAAAGTTCTTCGCATCTCTTGAGGTGTGAGGAAGTTTCTCGACAGAGGAAACTTTCATATCGAATGTTGCCTCTGTCGAGATGTATGTGACAGGCAAAGTGCAATCACCTATCAATATTGCACTTTGCCTGTCAAAAGTTCTTCGCATCTCTTGAGGTGTGAGGAAGTTTCTCGACAGAGGAAACTTTCATATCGAATGTTGCTCTGTCGAGATGTATGTGACAGGCAAAGTGCAATCACCTATCAATATTGCACTTTGCCTGTCAAAAGTTTTCGCATCTCTTGAGTGTGAGGAAGTTTCTCGACAGAGGAACTTTCATATCGAATGTTGCCTCTGTCGAGATGTATGTGACAGGCAAAGTGCAATCACCTATCAATATTGCACTTTGCCTGTCAAAAGTTCTTCGCATCTCTTGAGGTGTGAGGAAGTTTCTCGACAGAGGAAACTTTCATATCGAATGTTGCCTCTGTCGAGATGTATGTGACAGGCAAAGTGCAATCACCTATCAATATTGCACTTTGCCTGTCAAAAGTTCTTCGCATCTCTTGAGGTGTGAGGAAGTTTCTCGACAGAGGAAACTTTCATATCGAATGTTGCCTCTGTCGAGATGTATGTGACAGGCAAAGTGCAATCACCTATCAATATTGCACTTTGCCTGTCAAAAGTTCTTCGCATCTCTTGAGGTGTGAGGAAGTTTCTCGACAGAGGAAACTTTCATATCGAATGTTGCCTCTGTCGAGATGTATGTGACAGGCAAAGTGCAATCACCTATCAATATTGCACTTTGCCTGTCAAAAGTTCTTCGCATCTCTTGAGGTGTGAGGAAGTTTCTCGACAGAGGAAACTTTCATATCGAATGTTGCCTCTGTCGAGATGTATGTGACAGGCAAAGTGCAATCACCTATCAATATTGCACTTTGCCTGTCAAAAGTTCTTCGCATCTCTTGAGGTGTGAGGAAGTTTCTCGACAGAGGAAACTTTCATATCGAATGTTGCCTCTGTCGAGATGTATGTGACAGGCAAAGTGCAATCACCTATCAATATTGCACTTTGCCTGTCAAAAGTTCTTCGCATCTCTTGAGGTGTGAGGAAGTTTCTCGACAGAGGAAACTTTCATATCGAATGTTGCCTCTGTCGAGATGTATGTGACAGGCAAAGTGCAATCACCTATCAATATTGCACTTTGCCTGTCAAAAGTTCTTCGCATCTCTTGAGGTGTGAGGAAGTTTCTCGACAGAGGAAACTTTCATATCGAATGTTGCCTCTGTCGAGATGTATGTGACAGGCAAAGTGCAATCACCTATCAATATTGCACTTTGCCTGTCAAAAGTTCTTCGCATCTCTTGAGGTGTGAGGAAGTTTCTCGACAGAGGAAACTTTCATATCGAATGTTGCCTCTGTCGAGATGTATGTGACAGGCAAAGTGCAATCACCTATCAATATTGCACTTTGCCTGTCAAAAGTTCTTCGCATCTCTTGAGGTGTGAGGAAGTTTCTCGACAGAGGAAACTTTCATATCGAATGTTGCCTCTGTCGAGATGTATGTGACAGGCAAAGTGCAATCACCTATCAATATTGCACTTTGCCTGTCAAAAGTTCTTCGCATCTCTTGAGGTGTGAGGAAGTTTCTCGACAGAGGAAACTTTCATATCGAATGTTGCCTCTGTCGAGATGTATGTGACAGGCAAAGTGCAATCACCTATCAATATTGCACTTTGCCTGTCAAAAGTTCTTCGCATCTCTTGAGGTGTGAGGAAGTTTCTCGACAGAGGAAACTTTCATATCGAATGTTGCCTCTGTCGAGATGTATGTGACAGGCAAAGTGCAATCACCTATCAATATTGCACTTTGCCTGTCAAAAGTTCTTCGCATCTCTTGAGGTGTGAGGAAGTTTCTCGACAGAGGAAACTTTCATATCGAATGTTGCCTCTGTCGAGATGTATGTGACAGGCAAAGTGCAATCACCTATCAATATTGCACTTTGCCTGTCAAAAGTTCTTCGCATCTCTTGAGGTGTGAGGAAGTTTCTCGACAGAGGAAACTTTCATATCGAATGTTGCCTCTGTCGAGATGTATGTGACAGGCAAAGTGCAATCACCTATCAATATTGCACTTTGCCTGTCAAAAGTTCTTCGCATCTCTTGAGGTGTGAGGAAGTTTCTCGACAGAGGAAACTTTCATATCGAATGTTGCCTCTGTCGAGATGTATGTGACAGGCAAAGTGCAATCACCTATCAATATTGCACTTTGCCTGTCAAAAGTTCTTCGCATCTCTTGAGGTGTGAGGAAGTTTCTCGACAGAGGAAACTTTCATATCGAATGTTGCCTCTGTCGAGATGTATGTGACAGGCAAAGTGCAATCACCTATCAATATTGCACTTTGCCTGTCAAAAGTTCTTCGCATCTCTTGAGGTGTGAGGAAGTTTCTCGACAGAGGAAACTTTCATATCGAATGTTGCCTC